ACAGAGGGAGATCTGGGCTGTTAGGAAAAGGAGTCGTGGAGGGCGGGGAAACAAACCACTAATGGCTAGCTAGCATTGGAGGGCTGGTGGTTCCACTTCTGCTGTGCCCTGTGAGGTTCTGGCAGGCATGGCCCCACTGCAGGGCCCTTCAGAGCCAGACACTGAGGCCATGGTCCTTGTCTCTTTTCTGCTGTTTCAGCCTCCAGGCTTTGGGGGTCTGATGAGGGAGCGTCCTGTCATCTCAGAGTTCCCCAGCTTCTTCAAAAGCAACAGTCTGGGAGCATTTACAGAGATGCTGACCGACCCTTACCTTTTTGGGAGGCCATTGTGGCCTCTCCAGGGGAAAGTCCCCACTGGCACAAAGGCAGTCAGTGTGATCACAGACTCTGGCTTTCCCAGCTTCCCTGGCAACTCGAGTGACTGTAAGTGACCAATTCTGGCCAATAAGACAAAAAAGAAAATTGGCTGAGGTAGGGGGAATGTTCCGGCAAAGATTCTCCTTGTTTGGATCAGATAGGTAAGAGCACTCTTCCATTATCCCTTTCTTTCCCCCTTGCCCTTGGTTCAGTTAGAAGCATGGCTGCGGCCTTCAGACCACAGCCAGTGATGCGAGCCAGCAGCACACTGAGGGGGCAGCGGCGGAGAGAGCGTGCGCCTGACGTCATCCATGAACCAGGCACGGAGCCGTCGTGTCTGGCCTCCCTGTTACGAGAGAAAATGAAATGTTTTCATCTTCTGAACCACCGTTGGCTGGTATTCTCGTACCTGCAACCAAATGCATCCCACCCGACTCTTTCCCACTGCCACAGGCCTCTCATTGTGCCGCTGTCTTGTCCTCATTTTTTTCCCAGCTGCTGTTTCAAGCTTCCTCCATTGCACACAGCACAGTGTATTAGTCAAGGTCCTCAGATGGCGCACTTGACTATGTTGGACTTAAGAGAATTAACAGGAGGCTGGAGGAGCGGTCTCAGAAAACAGGCAGGAGCCAAGAAACACTAGAGAGAGGGACCCAGGGGCCCCCAGCAAAAGTCATGCCACAGGAAAAGCCAGGTCCACCTACCCCTGGCTGTGCTGTCACTGGGGGGGAGGGTTAGAGCTTCTGGCAAAGACACATGAAGGAGTGGTAATAGCAGCACCGACTGTGAGGTAGGCGATATTCTCTGCATTTACAGATCAAAACTGAGTCACGGTTTCAGCAACCAGACCACGGCACACCAGCATCGTAACCAAGGCTGTCTGGCTCACCATAGGGGTTCCTCATCAGGAAGATCAGAGTGCTTTCAGGAAGGGGAAGCTCAACAGCAGACAGCTGGGCAAGTCCAAGTGCGCACCAGTCCCTGAATCCTAGAGCGGCTGTGGGTGTCACTCAGCCTCAGAGCATCAGAGGGAGACTTGGCTGCACCTGCTCAGGGAAGGGATTTGTGTGAAGAGAGACCAGGGCCTCAGGAACATCTGTGTGTGTTCACAGAAGGGAGCAAAATGGATTGAGGGTTTCCTACTGAGCTGGAAATAAAATGCTGTCAGCAAAGCCCATCTGTCAGGAGGTGCTTAATGTAAACAACTCAGGGTCACATCTGGGCCACTGGTTCTCCCCCCAACTGGCCCATATGTGGCCTCAAAGGACTAATCCTCTGCGCTCTGCCAGGCTGACCCACGGGTGAGGCTTCCCTGCTAAGTGCAAGCAGTGCCCGCGGCTGGCCCAGACAACCCAGGACCCCACCCCCAGCTGAGTGTGGGGCTGACCTCAGGCCCTCCTCTCTGGCAGACGTCAGAAGCCCCGCAGGTCTAAGACCAGCAGTCCCTGCCCAGACCCGGCCCACATACTTATTTTGTTGACCCTCATTGTGGCTTTTGTTGGTAATGTTCTTAAGAAGTATTTAGTTAATGGCTAGAAATGCATGCAAATACATGCAAATTGGCAAAAGGTAGCTAGTGGTATACAGTGAAAAGTAAAGCTCCTTCCCTCCTCTTCTTTCACAACTGATCCCTCCTCCAAACCTGTCTCATGGGAGGGGAGCCAGGAATAGTAAGAGGAACAACTGGGTGTGTTCATAAGTACTAAGGAGAAAAACGAAGCAGGGGAGGGGGAAGGAAGTGGGTGGTGACACCCAGCCCCCTGTCAGAAACCATTACTAGCAATTTCTTGAAAATCCTTTTAGAAGATTTTCTACATGTTCATTTGTTATTGTTGCTGATGGGTTGGTTTTTCATATTGGGAGATACTGCATACAATTTTAGATATCTGGTTTCTCTTGAAAGTTCTGAAGATCTGGCCTCTAATACATCCTGTAAGACTCAGTTGCTAGAGCTCAGGAGGCCCACCTGCCTCCTTAGAAGATGCCTCTGCTGTCCATGTCACGGCAGCTTCACCTGGCCTCGCTCCTGTCTCCTAACCCACCCGGCCCCAGAGCTTTCCGCTTCCCTCCCCTGTCCTGCGCGCCATCCCCTGCATGCCTCCCCGCAGTGCCTACCCGAGTGCCCCGTGGGAACCAGGAAGCAGGGCGTGCTCCCCTCACCTGGCTCTCACTTTCTCAGAGGAAATAGGCTCACCCCACCGTTTTGCTCCATGAATCTGTTCATGCTTTTCCCTTGGTCTCTTTCTGTCAGGTCACTCCATACCTCTGGGCATGGACTAGAAAGTGTGCCCTACACATTTACACACATGCACACCCACTCAAAACAGGAGGCCTTTCACCTCCTCACTTGGAGAGCACCAACACTCATTGACCACAATGGCCATGTCTGGCTCCACATTCCAAGGGAAGGAAAAGTCACTGAGCACCTTGAGACAGATGCCCAGCCCAGCCCAGCACTCTGCTGCTCTGAGCAGAACCGTTCTGTTGGCAGGAGGATGGATGTGGCTTCTGGGACGACCAACAGGTTCTGCCACAGGTCATGACTTTCTCCTTCCTCCCCAGCAGAGAGTTTCCTCTCCCAGAAGTTCAAGGTAGAAACCAAGATGATCCTGCAGAGAACTTCAGGTTGCAATGCAGAAGCAGGCCCTCCCTTCCCCAGAGGTCTGCAAGTCAGGGTGCACTTACTTCAAGTTAGAAGCTATCTGTTCACTCATTCATACAATAAATAGTGAATAGTCCTGGACACTCTTCCCGGGCCTGGGATACATGAGTGAACCACACAGACACCCTGCCTTTCTGGAGCTGACAGTGTAGGGGTGAAGAGAGTCAGTAAATGGACAATGATCAAAATCATATCCGTTGGTGAAAAAAGAAAGCAGAAAGGGTGACAGAAAGGCTTTGAGGAGACCAGGCTTCTCTGTCTACATAGGGTGGTTTGGGAAGCTTCATTAAAGAGCTGACACCACGGGAGAGAACCAGCCTGGTGAAAAACCAAGGACACCCAGATATCCTAGATGAGGTTTGCTATGTGAGAAGGACAGGAAAGAAGGCCACTGTGATAGGATCTGGGTTGGGGGTGGTGAGAGGCATCAGGGGGACTGCAGGGGCCAGACCCTGTGGGGCCTGTGGGCCAGCAGAAGGAGTTTGGATTTTATTGTAGCACAGGAGCCACTGAGGAGATCTTAGAAAGAAGTGATGGGAGCTGATTTACCAGCTTATAGTATCTATTAATTGTGCAGGTTTCCTGGAACATTCCCTCCCCCAGATCCACCAGAGCTCGTGGTGACTCATCTGTCATTTTGACTCCCTTCCTGGTCGGGTGGCTGGTCTGGTAGATGCAGAACAAGCTGACAACAGTCCAGCCTCTGTGTGTGCCCACCAGTAGACAAGACTCACAGAGGGCAGAGGACGTGTTCAGTGACTCCACGAGGGAAAACTCAGTCAGATTCTGAAAGCGGGAAATGCCGTGGAACAAGTGACCCCCGCAAATAAATAGCATCAAATACCCTGGCTAGTGTGGCTCAGTAGATTGAGTGCCAACCTGTGAACTAAAGGGTCGTCAATTCAATTCCCAGTTGGGGCACATGCCTGGGTTGCAGGCCAGGTCCCCAGTGGGGCCTGTGTGAGAGGCAACCACACATTGATGTTTCTCTCCCTCTCTTTCTCCCTCCCTTCCCCTCTGTCTAAAAATAAAGAAAGAAAATCTTTAAAAAATAAAATAAAGTCTTTTTAAAGAATCAATTACATCAAATAAAGGGGAGGTGGACTTAAAGTACAAGAGACTTAAGAAGTATATCTGCCAAAGTGGAGTATAAATCTTGTTTGGATCTTGGTTTGAACAAACCAGCCTCAAAAACACCTTTGAGACAGTGAGGGAAATGCAGTGCAGGCACAGGTATTACGTGGTGTTAGAGAATACTTGTTAACCTAGATGGATGTGATAAAGGTGTCGTGGTTATATTTTTAAAAGCCTTATCTACTAGAGATATAAGCTAAAGTATTTATATGGGTGGCATCATCTGCTTTCTGGGATTCTAAAATATTCTTTCCATCAAAAAAGTGTAGAGTGGGTGGAGAGATAAATGACAAATACAGTAGTTCCCCCTTATTCGAGGTTTCAGTTACCCATTGTCAGCCAGGGTCCAAAAATATTAAATGGAAAATCCCAGAAGCAAACTCTTCATAAATGTTAAATTGTGCACCACTCTCAGTACATAGCATCATATCATCTCACATCATCACAAGAAGGGGGAGAGCAGTAAAGTGAGATCTTTTGAGAGAGGGCATAGCTTTTATTACAGCATATTGTTACAGTTGTTTTGTTTTTATTATAACTTCATTGTTGCTAATCTCTGTGTGTAATTTATAAGTTAAACCTTGTCATAGGTATATATGTATAGGAAAAAGCATGATACATACAGGGTTGCACTCATGGTCTTGAAGCGCATCTCTCAGCTCAGGGGAGACCACTGTGGTAAACGGCTGTCGAGGCTGGTCGGGTAGCTCTTCGGGCTCTTCTCTCTGCTTTGGGGTATCTTCAGAAATTCCCATAATAAAAAGGTTTTTGAATGAAGGTGTCAAAGAAAAGTCACTCTCTGGGAGCAGTAACCTCACATCTCACCTTTGCCTTTTCTCCCTTTTCAGCATGGCACCCGTGCAGCCTGCCGGCCCTCGCCACCGCCTGCTGTTTGCGCTGCCCTGCTGAGGCACCCAGGCTGGAGCCCCCAGGACAACACCTGCCTCCCGAGGTTGTCCTGGCCCGGTTTTCCACAGCGATGGTGGAGAATTGGACTCCACAGACTCACAACCTTCCCGTCAGGCTTCAGGAGCCAGCATCCTTCATCCTGGGACTGGCAGCCCTAAACAATGGCTGAGGGCCAGGGGACCCCATAAAGTTACTCCACAGCTTCCAGGGGCCAGTAGCACTCCAGTGCCTGTGGACTATGACCACCTATCGTCCCATTCCCAGTGATAGTGTGGACCTGGCAGCCAGCTGTGGGGCCAGGGGAGCTGAAGTCCTCCCTGGGCCACACACGGGGGACTATGCTCCCATGGGATTCTGGGTCCAGAACGGCGGCATGCCCCAGGCTATTGGTGAGAGCCCAGCCACCGCCACCACCCGCCCCAGTCCCACCACTCCTGCAGTACCCAAGATGGGCGTGCGTGCAAGGGTGGCTGACTGGCCGCCCAAGAGAGAGGCCCTGAGAGAACAGAGCAACCCAAGCCCCTCGCAGGACACAGATGGCACAAAGGCCACAAAGGGGGCCCATTCCATGCGGAGCATACAGAATGGACAGCCCCCTGCCAGCACTCTGGCTTCCTCGGGGTCCAAAGCCTTCCACCGACTCTCCAGGAGAAAGTCCAAAGATGTGGAATTCCAGGACGGGTGGCCCCGGTCCCCTGGCAGGGCCTTCCTTCCCCTGCGGCACCGCAGCAGCAGTGAGATCACCCTCAGCGAGTGCGACGTGGAGGACGTGGGGGAGGCACGGGGGGGCCGGCTCACGGGGGCCCTGCCCCTCTTCCGAGAGTACGGGAGCACATCGTCCATCGATGTGCAGGGCGTGCCTGAGCAGAGCTTCTTCGACATTCTCAATGAGTTCCGCAGCGAGCAGCCAGAGGCCCGAGGCTCCCAGAACCTCACCGAGCTCCTCCAGGCAGATCCCAGCCTACACCTTACAGGGGGTGGCACCGGAGCCAAAGGGGACCCCCGCAGCGGGCAGCCCACCAGGGACCACCTTCTCCCACTGCAGCCCGGGAAGGAGAAGGAGAGGGCCCGCAAGAAGCCCGTGCGGGGCCTGGGCAGTGGGGATGCAGTGGACTCATCCATCTTTCGGAAGCTGAGGAGCAATAAGCCAGAAGGCGACGTGGGCCGGTCCCCAGGGGAGACAGAGGAGGGGCGGAGCCCTCAGGAGGCCAGCAGACCATGGGTCTGCCAGAAGAGCTTTGCCCATTTTGATGTGCAGAGCATGCTGTTTGACCTCCACGAGGCAGCCGCCAACAGGGTGTCCACGACCCAGAGGCGGAACACCACAACAGGGGCTTCAGCCGCCTCAGCCATGGCATCATCCCTCACAGCGTCTCGAGCTAATGGCCTTGGGGGCCTAGACACAGCCTTCACCAGCACAGAAGACTTGAACTGCAAGGAGAACCTGGAGCAGGACCTGGGTGACGACAACAGCAATGACTTACTGCTCAGCTGCCCGCACTTCCGCAACGAGATCGGGGGTGAATATGAGCGCAACGTGAGCTTCTCCCGGGCCTCTGCTGGTTCCCCAGGCGGGAGCGAGTGCCGCCTGGCTGAGCCCGCCCTCAGCACCTACCGCACCAATGCCAGCATCTCGGTGCTGGAGGTGCCCAAGGAGCAGCAGAGGACTCAGAGTCGCCCTCGGCAGTACAGCATCGAGCACGTGGACCTGGGCGCCCGCTATTACCAGGACTACTTCATGGGCAAAGGTGACTGGGACAGGCGGGTGGGCCATAACTGATCTCCGAGGCTCCCCCTGCTCAGTCATTCACTGTGTGCTGGGACCTGCCTCAGAGTGGGGCTGTAAGGATGCGATGAGCCTCAGGGCATGTGGCTGACACTCCCAAACCTTGAGCTGTGCCTTATTCACCTATGTGTTAGGCCACAAGTGACAAACATAAGGCCTGTGGGCCGAATCCAGCCTGGTTTTATCCGGCCAGGCACCTTGTTTCTACCCAGTGGCAATGCCAAGCTCCTTGCCCCTAGTTAAGGGGTAGTTACATTTATACAGTCCTGAAATCACATTCGGCCCTTGGAAGGCAACCTCGAGGCTGATGTGGCCCCCAATGAAAATGAGTTGGACACCCTGGCATCAGGCACTCTCTAGAACCTGGGGATACAGTGTTGGCTAGTTAAACATAAAAACCTTGTCCTCCTAGCACTTAATGTTTTAGGGGTATAAGGCAAACAGTAAAACTAGATAAATACATAAAATACATAAGCTGTCAGGGTCGTAAGTGCTACGGAGAAAAGTAAAGCATAGAAGAGTGTCAGGGTGGGAGGCCGCAGTTTCAGTAGGACGTGGTCAAGGAGGACCTCCTCATACGTGCCATTTGAGTGCTGAGCTGAAGGAGATGGGGAGGGAGCCATGTGGAGACTGGGGACAGTGTGTTTCCGTTACAGGGAGTAGCAAGCACAGTAGCTCTGGGACACCACAAGAATAGGAAGGAGGCTGTTGTTGCTGAGATGGGAGACTGGGGGAGAAGAGAAGGAGCAAAGCGAAGAGGTGATGGGGGCAGATCATGTGGGGCTTTGTGGTCCGTGGTGAGGGCTCTTACTTTTACCCGGAGTGAGATGGAATGGCAGGAGGGTTCTGAGCAGAAAAGGGGCCCCATCTGACGTGAGTGTTCACAGACTCCAAGGAGGAGATGATGAGGAGATGATGATGGATGTGTGTAGGATGGAGGTGGGGAAGAAGCCGGCAGGTTCTGGATCCCCTGCGAAGGTGGAGTTGTTGATGTTTGGAAGGCGTTAACGCCAGGGAGAGGCAGGCTTCGTACATCATTAGGTTCATTGGTGCTAGTGGGGCAAGCCCAGGAGGCAGCATAGCACAGTGCAGAGACCCCAGCCCAGGCAGGACACGTGCAGAAGTGCAGGACACGGGGCTGGAACTGAGCCAAGGGCCGCTCCCGCGAGCTCCCACTCGTCATCGTCATGCAGGGAAGGCGGACAAACCCAGAGTTGCCAGCCTTTCTGATTTTTTTCAACATTCTCCTGAAATTCAGAATTTTAAAAAAGATTTTATTTTATGTATGTATGTATGTATTTTAGAGAGGGGGGAAGGGAGGGAGAAAGAGAAAAACACTGATGTCAGAAACCAGTTACCTCTGACTTGCCCTCTGACTGGGGACTGAACCCAAAACCCAGGCATGTGCCCTGACTGGGAATCAAATCACGATTTTTCCCTTTGTGGGATGACGCCCAACCCATGGAGCCACACCAGTCGGGGCTAGAATTCAGATTTTTTAAAAATGTGGATTCTTATAATTTTTGAATCCCGGCAGCTGTATTAATTCGGAATTGCTTACAACTACCAGTAACAGGCTTATACAACATAGTTTATTTCTCTCATGAAGTTCAAAGGGCAGCAGCCCAGGGCTGGTATTGTTACTCCTCAGCATCAATGGAATGCCAGCCCTAGTGCATGGCCTCCAGCCCTCAGGTGGTCTCCCGGTCCCGGATGGTTGCCGGACCTCCAGCCATTTCATCTGTGTTTCCAGGCAGAGAAAAAGAGGACAGTGTAAAGGCAAAAAGATAGACCACCTGTCAAGTCAGTCTTCTTTAAACGGTTTTCTCAGAAGCCCCGTCCAACTGTTCATGCTTATTGGCTACTTCTGTCTGCAAGGCAAGCTGCAAAAATAGAGGGTTTTTAGCTGTGCACAACTCTGTCTTTCCTTCCCCCAAGATTAGAGGGTTTTCTTAAAAAGGAATAAGGGAAAAATGGATAGGCAGCTAATATTCCACAGCAAGTAGTTTAAAAGATTTTTAAAGCAGTGTCCTAGTCAGGTGTAACGTGTATCAACTAGGTAGTCCCCCGGGGCTCCGAGTTAGTCTCGGGGGCTCCGGCTCCGCAGTCAGGCAGCCCCAGGTTTGCAGGTTTGTTCGTTCCGTAGCTTACTAGCCATGCGACACATTTCGCGCCCTGGACTCTGTCTCCTGAACGTGATTGTAGTATTATCATATGCACAGGAACAAAACAACACAGAAGTTGAAAATAAAGGGATGAAAGAAGTTTCGGGCAGTTGCTAACCAAAAGAAAGCAGGCAAGGCAGCATCATTACCACACAAAATGGATTTCAAGGCTAAAAGCATCTCTTGGAGGAACTGAAAGGCCACCTCGTGCTGGTATTCAAACATTCAGCAAGAAATGTTTAATAGTTGTAAACCTTTGTACTTGGCAACCTGGTTTAGGGGTGTGTGAATTAAAACTGATCCGGTTATAGAGAGAAGTGAAGAAATCCACAGTCAGTGGGAGAAGCTGACAGGGCCTCTTGTTGAAATTGATGGATCTAGTAGCCAAAAAATCAGATGAAAGTGGATTTCAATAACCCATCAGGCCTCAGCCTGTGGCGCAGTTGGTTGGAGCGTCATCCTGCAAACAAAAAGGTTGCAGGTTTGATTGTTGGTCAAGGCACATGCCTAGGTTGCAGGTCTTGCAGGAGATAAGCAAATAATGTTTTTCTCTCACATCGATCTTTCTCTCCCTTTCTCTCCCTTTCTTCCCCTCTCTCTAAAAAATTCAAAATAAATAATTTTTAAAACCATCAGAACTGGGTTTTGAGATTAATATGTATTAATTTTGTATACATATTACATGTATTATGTATACAGTTATACATAATAATTTGGTGCCTATCCAACAGAGAATGCATTCTTTTCTTTTTTGTATTCTCACCCTAGGACATGTTTATTGATTTTAGAGATGGGGGAAGGGAGGAAGAGAGAGGGGAAGGGAAACATTTGATGGGTTGGCTTTTGTACATGTCCTGACAGGGGAGCAAACCTGCCACCTAGGCATGTGCCCTGGTCAGGAATCAGGCCCACAGACTTCTGGTTTACGGGATGGCACTCCAACCAAATGAGCCACACTGGCCAGGGCAAGAATACATTCTTTTCAACTCACACACAGAAATACTATGTGAAAGGACTGTGGTGAGGATCAGGTAAGATTGTACATTAAAACATGGTTCTTCATCAGGCTGGTAGTAAGCACTGCCATGGAACTTTTTTTAGATTTTATTTATTTATTCTTTGAGAGGAGAAGAGAGGGAGAAAAAGGAGAGAAACGTTGGTGTGTACAATTGGTTGCCTCTTGCACACCCCCAACTGGGGACCTGGCCAGCAACCCAGGTGTGTGTGCCCTGACTGGGAATCAAACCAGCGACCCTTTGGTTCACAGGCTGGTACTCAATCCACTTAGCCACACCAACCAGGGTGATGGAACTGTTTTAAAAAGCAGTTGTCTTTAAAAAATTATTTCTGTATAGCCCTGGAACCTCATTAATTAATCATTTGATCATTGGTTATTGAATGCCCACTGTACACCAGGACTGGGAAGTACTGAGTATGCATTGGTGGATTTAAAAAAAACAAACACATGCCCTGGCTGGCGTAGCTCAGTGGATTGAGCACGGGCTGCAAACCAGGCATCACAGGTTCAATTCCCAGTCAGGGCACATGCCTAGGTTGCAGGCCACGGCCCCCAGCAACCACACATTGATGTTTCTCTCTCTCTTTCTCTCTCTCTTTCTCTCTCCCTTCCCTCTCTAAAAATAAATAAATAAAATCTTTAAAAAACAAACAAACACAGCAACCGCTTCAGGAATGAACTGATATCTGTGGAATATAGTATTCTGTTCTCTGACCAGTTGGGGAAATAATCCAGTGCATGTGCTATCTGATGCGGGTCATTAATTAACACACATTATTTGGGACTTAGATAAGCCTTTGATTTACCAAGAGCATCTCATGAGAATAGACACTGTTGGCTCAACATCAGAGCACTAGGGTGGGAAGGAGTTTCTGGCAGTGGGTGGGTGCTGACATCGTGGACCTGGGTCAAGTCAGACTGCTGGGGGGTGTCCACCACAAGCAGGAGATACTTGGGTTACATATCAGGAAGAACGGTTTTCCTGGAAGGACTATAAAGCAGCCGCATGTTTTAGAGAAAGGCAGGGTCAGCTGTCATTTCTGGGAGAGAGCAGGAGACTTCCTCCTAGGACTCGTTAAGGGCTCTGTCAACACAAGGAAGAAAAAAGAGTAATGGTCTGTAGAAATGTGACCAGACAAAGGCGATGCTTAGGGATTTCAGTCATGGTCCCTTTTCTATAGCAAACATCATGCCCTGGGGATGGCAGTGAGTGTGTAGTACTTTCTAACTTGTTTAATCCTCACAACCATATTGAGAAGTGGGTGCATCCTTACTGACCCCATTTTACTGGTGAGAAGCCTATCGAATGCTGTGGGCCACACATCGAACATTGCCAGAGTTGGGACTTCAGCTGGCCAGGAGGCTCTTTAGCTGGAATCTTAACAACATCTAGAATCTTAGCCATTTCATGAGAGCTAATTTGCAGCTAAGCTGATGAACATTTGCAAATATAGGGTAGTAAGGGCTTTGCGTTTCTTACATGTCGTGTACCACGTTGAGCGTTTTATATTTGTAGCTCCATTTCACCCTCCCATCAGCTGTATGAATTGTGGGTAATGGTAGGGCCCCCATTTCTCAGATGAGAGCGTTGAGGCTCAGAAAAGTTGTGTGATTTAGCAGGTGTGGTGTAATAAGTTCTCTCCACTGAATGTGGCCATGACTGGGCCTGAGAGCCTGCCCTGACCAGCGGGTCCCCTCGGCAGGCCTGCCTCGAGACATCACCAGAGAGCCGACTCTGAACTCACCTATTCTTCCCTCACAGAGCATGCCAGTTACTTTGGTGTGGATGAGAAGCTGGGGCCAGTGGCCGTGAGCATCAAGCGGGAAAAGCTGGAGGACCACAAGGACCATGGGCCTCAATACCAGTACAGGATCATCTTCCGGACCCATGAGGTAGGTCTCATCACTGTGATACTGTTACGTAAATAATAGCTGACACCTATGCATTCTTCATGCTAGGTTCTGTGGGCAGGAACTTCACCTGCTTCATCTCATGTAATCCTTCCAACAGCTTCACGGGCACGAATCCTCTCAGTCTCACCATTTTTTAAAAAGATTTTATTTATTTATTTTTATTTTTATTTTTATTTTTTTTTTAATTTTATTTATTTATTTTTAGAGAGGGAAGGGAGGGGGAGAGAGAGAGAGAGAGAGAGAGAGAGAGAGAGAGAGAGAGAGAGAAACATCAATGTGCGGTTGTTGGGGGTTATGGCCTGCAACCCAGGCATGTACCCTGGCTGGGAATCGAACCTGGGACACTTTGGTTCCCAGCCCGCGCTCCATCCACTGAGCTGCGCCAGCCAGGGCTATTTATTTATTTTTAGACAAAGGGGGAGGGAGGGAAAAAGAGAGCTAGAAGGATCAATGTGTGGGTGCCTCTTCCACACCCCCTACTGGGAACCTGGCCTGCAACCCAGGCATGTGGCCTAATTGGGAATTGAACCAGCACCCCTTTGGTTCGCAGGCCAGCACTCAATCCACTGAGCCACAACAGCCAGCGCAGTCTCACCATTTTACAGAAGAGAAAAATAAGACTCAGAAATTAAACATGTCTAAGATCAGTGAATGAGTGGCTAGGCCAGGACTGGAATCTGCTGCATCTCACTGCAGAGCCCAGGATTCTTCTATTTGCAAAAAGAGATGGACTCTGGTTAACATAAGAAATAAAGGGGGAGACACAGAGGATTCTTTCAGGACCATGAGGTGTCCTGCAGAGTGGACAGGGCAGGAGTTGGGAAATCACAGCCCAGGACTGCTGCTGACTCCCATGGTTCAAAACACTCCAGTGCATCTCTTCATCCTGAATAGAGCAGCCCATTGTCCTGGCTTGTCAGAGATCTAAGCACTGGATTCCATGGCTGCTGTGGCCGGAGAACAAGGCCTATGGGAGCACCCTGCTTGGTTAGGTTCTAAAGTTATGAGTAACAGAAACCTACTAACTTTTTAAGCCTACTTCACTTTACTAACTTCACTTACTTTTTAAGTAAGAGAGTTCATTGGTTCATGTATCTGCAAGTCCAGGGGTAGGGCTAGCTTCTGGCATGGCCTGTCCCAGGCACTCCACTGTTGTCAGTGGGGGACTCTGCCTCCTCATCTCTCCGTTCAGCTCAGCTGCTTTTTACATTGTGAATGTTGTTCTCTTGTGCCACCAACAAACTCCATGTCATGGGAAAATGGAGACTGGCCACTCAAGTCTTCTACATCTTTGTACCTGTTTCCACAGGGAAGGCACCCTTACCTGCCGAATCTCTGGGAAGGCCTCTGATTGGCTCTGCTTGGATCACAAGTCCATGCCCTGGGCCAGCCATGGTCATCAGGGATGGTAGAGGAAACGGGCCAGATCTAAGATGCGGTTCCACCCAGAGTCTAGGGAGCAGGGCACTGTGATTGACATTTCCATCAGTGCCCCCTGGAGGACTCAGTGAGGTGGTTCCTCTGCAAAAAGGGGAGCCAGGCCAGCAGAAATGATGCAGCTTTCCAAAAGACCTTTCCAGAAAAGGGGCATTTATCAGCTAGGAAGGTTCCCCAAAATGGGTCTCTCTCAGCCCTACATTGCTCCTTGGGCCTGGCCTTTGCCCAGACACAGTGTGTGGGACCAGAAAGCCTGGACCCCATCCACACTGGCAGATGCTGCACCAAGGACCCAGCCCCTCACCAAGACCTTCCCACTGAGGGGCATTGTGATGACACAGAAGCTTTGTGGCAGCCGAGGGGAGGCTGGATGAGCACTGGGCAGAATGTGAGCTGGCAGCTCACACTGTATCAGACCATTGTATGACACACAGGGAACAGCTGGGTGAAATGACAATGACAGCCAAATATTAATAATACTTACTATAATTGCTATCATATCAGATACTGTGACACTGTGTGTTGGGCATTGTCTGTTCCCCTCTATGTATGTTCACTCAGTTAAATGTCATGGCAATTCTGTGGGAGGGCACTGTTGTTATCCATGTACAGATGAGGAAACAGGCATAGAGAGTTCAGGGACTTGCCCAAAGCACCTTCCAGTAAGTGGCAGGGTGAGGTGCGGGCCTGTACTCCAGCCACAGCTCGGCTGCCTCTGGGATTTCAGTACCAGCCCAGCCTGTATACCAGGCCCGTTCGTGAGTTGCAAACTCTACTTAGTGCCAGTATTTTTATGTTGTTACTGTTGTTAATGAAAATAGAATATGAAGAATGAATTTTTAAAATATCAGACTTCATTGCACATTCTGAGAATGTGTACCTGCTTTTGTCCACTTCCCACCCCCTACACCCACAGAACTAGCCTCCAGTCTGCCCCAGGGAGGGGCACCAAGGCTCAGGGCCTCGGGTCAGGGCTTTAGCCACCCGATAGAGATTCACTCCACACCACCCTCTCCCAGCCCTGTGCTGGGTGCTGAGGGACAGGCAGTGCTGAGTGAGGCAGCAGAAATGCGGGTGGGCTGCGTGCCTGTTGGGGAGGCAGACAAGAGATACCTTGGGAAATTAGTGTGGCACGTGAGACAGGTGGAAGGTAAAGCAAGGAAAAGAAGTATGAGGGAGGCTTGGTATGAGTGCTGGTTGGGCCATTCAGCAGTTGTGAAACCTGGAGTATGTAGCTTCTCTGGCAGCCTTTTCCCCTCTTGGGAATTCCAGTTTCACGGGACTGGTGTGGGCCCAGTGAGATCGTGGGCCTGCACTTGGGGCGAGCCAGTGAAGTTAGCCATAGGGAGCGATCTCAGCCCGCTGCCCCCTTGTCACACATTCCAGTCAGCCGTGTGAAGTTCGGCCCACTGTGAGGTTCACCACCACAAGCAGCCCTTTCTCCGTCCTCACACATGCAGGCCACACACAGTCAGTCCTGGGCCCAGGTCCTCAGTGCTGGGCACTTAGGCCTAAGGACCTCATTATCTGCAGTTGGAGGGAGAGGCAGTGACCAGCAAGGATTGCCTGGCCCCTTCCCAAGGCCTTGTCCGTCGTGGAAACAGAGCAGATGACTGCACAGCCCCAAAGCAACAACAACAGTGATGATGATGACAACAACAACAACAGTAGCTCACCCCTTTAGCCCGTGTTCCCATCAGGCACTGTCCTAAGTTTTTTATATGCACTAACCCTCCAGACCCTCTCAACCATTCCCAGATGTGGGTCCCAGTATGATCTTCATTTTACAGATGAGGCCGCTGAAGCCCAGGGGGAGAATCACTTGCCAGGGTCCCCCTGTGGCAGAGCTGGACATGGCCCCGGGCAGCCTGGGTCCTGAGCCCATCCTCTTAACTGCTCACCACATTGACTGTCAGGGCAAGTTTGAATTCTGACTCAGAACAGACAGTCCTGGGTTTGGCCTGGCTCTGCCACTCAGTAGCCGTGTGACCTTGAGCAGAGGGCTTTACTTTGAGGCACCTCTGAGTGGTGGGTGTTAAGGTAACACTGCTGTTGAGGTCAGAGGGCCACGCTGGGAAGCAAGGGTTGAGTTCATGGACAGAGTTCTGGTCTCCTCTTCACAAACACATATCAGGCTCTTGTAAAGCAAGGCATGGGGGCCAGAGCGAGGGGCCCAGCCAGCTGGTCCGCCCCATATGGCCACCACCGGTCACCAAGCAGGCAGGCGAGCAGGCCTGCATCTCCTGGCAGATGGGATGTGACTGTTGGCAGCACTGAGCTTCCCCGCCAGGGCAGGGACAGACTTGGAGCTGGCCGTTGGCAGCACACACCTAAATGTCAGACCCTGGATCCTCGCCCCCAAGCCTGGACAGGACAAACCCAGGCCAGGGCTGCCCTGTCCTCAGCCCCTTCGCTGGCTCTGTCAGTCCCGTGACACAGGGGGCCCCAATCAGTCAGGGACTGCCTGGCCCCCCAGGACAGCTGGATTCCATTGAGTCCCCCACACATGAGTTTTTGACAGATCTTAGTTTTGTTAGGGTTAAAGGTTTGGATTTTTGTGGGGTTTTTTATTTATTTAAAAGCAACAGTCACTCACTGTTAAGAATTTGAACAGCACCTAAGTGCGCAAAGTAGAAAAGGAAGAACCTCATTCAGTGTGGTAGTGTACTGGGTGGGCCCCCTTTACGTTCAGTCGCTACCTCGGACTGCATGTGTGTGGATCTCCAAAGCATAGTTTTTAAGTCTTAACTACATATGTAGCTTTGTACAAAGAACATTTGACATGTGTACATGTATGTAATAGTGGTTAACATGCATTGCATGCCCACTGTCTGTCAGGAACTGTGCTCAGCACTGCACGTGGGTTGTTATCTTGCTGAGCCCTGGTGGCCCTTGCAGGCAGCACTGGCATCCCTGTTTTACAGGTGAGGAGACAGGCCCCAGCACCCACAGCTGGGGAGGACATAGAGCCAGGGTTTAGACCCAGGTAGACTGACTCCCAAGTGACCTGCCAGGAAAAGTTTGGGTATTGTTGTTGTTGTTGTTGTTTTAATCATCACCTGAATGACATGTTTATTGATTTGAGAGAGAGAGAGAGAGAGAGAGAGAGAGAGAGAGAGAGAGAAGCACTGGTTGGCTGCCTCCCATATGTGCCCCAGCCAGGGATCAAACCCACTACCTAGGTATGTGCCCTGTCCAGGAATCAAATCCACAACCTTTTGGTGCACAAGACAGTGCTCCAGCCACCTGAGCCACCTGGTCAGGGCCCAGGGAAAGTTCTTAAAGGCAGGGATGATGGTGGAGATGCATCTGTGTAAAAAGGAACCTCCTTGCTTACCTGGCCCTGAGGCCGTTTCATGGCTCACCTGACTAGTTACCCTCAGTGAAACGCAGGCACAGCTGAGAATGTAGATTTTATTCTGAGAGATGGGAAGTTGTTAGCAGGGTCCATGCAGAACAGAGACATGATCTGACTCCGCTGCTGCAGGAAGGAAGGACTAGGCGGGCAGCTGCAGGGTGGAAGGAGGGCAGCCTGGAGGAGACTGCTGTCACAGTCCAGGTAGGACATGACAGTGGACAGGACCAGCTGGAGAGTAGCAGTGGCCACTCATTGCACCCTGGCAGTGCCCTGTTTATTGTCCCAAGCAAAGAAGGGAAGCTCAGGGAGATTTTCAAGTAATGACTTTTGGTCAAGTCATCAGAGCCAAAATGTGACTGTAGGCCACCCATGTGGTTGAATTATTTCTGGCCCACCCTGTCCCTTGGCCCCAGCAGAGGGCGCTGTGGTGCAGTATCGGCAGGCAACAAACACATTGATCCTGTTGGTGCATTGATTGAAACTCCCAGTCCCAGGGCTGCCCAGATTGGCAGGGCAGAGCACAAGACATCATTGCTTTTCATGATCTATTTTAAGACTACCCTGCTTATGATAAGAGAGCTTCGTTTGTTTATTAGCTACTGAGACCAGAACTGGGAACTCCCAAACGTGAGGTCATTCCATTCCTTCCACACACGCCTGCAGCCCAGGTCCTGTTTCACAAGGGTGGATGTATGTTTAGGGCGATGTCATGGCACATTATTTTTGCCACCTCCTGTGTCTGTTGACTTAAGGTGAGCATGTCTTTCCAGTTAGCACTAATCCTCCTTAGTCTTTAAACCACTGCCCCAAGTGTACGTATTTTGGGTGCTCATAACAATTCCTCGCAGGAGGATTTTTTCCTTGTACTGCTGCGCCATCTTGGTGTGGTTCTGGAGCTTCTGTGCCTCGCCCCAGGCATGGCATCTCCTGCTGGCCAGCATTACGTTGTGGATAGAAGCCTGAGCTAGTGTTAGTGAGGGTGCAAAGCCACAGGAGCTCTCAGACAGGGTGTGCGGGTAGAAATTAGTACAACCACTGAAAACTGTTTGCAGTACCATGTAATTGAATACTAACATGGCTGGTAGTGCAGCAACTTCTCTCCAAGGTATAAACCCAAAAGAAAATATGTTCATATGCATTGAGAGATGCTTCTGTGGATGTTCCTAACAGCACCATTCACAGTTGTCAAACACTGGAGGGCAGTGTCTGTGCTCAGCAACAAGTAGAGTGAATTATATCCATTGTGGTAAAAATGTCAGCCTCTTGCAGCAACATGGTTGAATTTCTTATCTATAGCATTCCGAGACAGAAGCCAGATACAAAAGAATCCAAACTATCAGAAGCTCAAAACCAGGCAGTGGTGAGTTTCGGCAGAAGGATAAGTCGTCAAGATAAGGTTGCCTTGAGTAGGGAGGGATGGGGCCCAGAATGGCTTCTAGGAGCTGAGAATGCTGTGGTTTTTATCTGGGTGGTGATTACCTAGGTGTTCACTCTGTGATAATTTCTTCAGCTCTGTGTATATGTGTTGCAGATTATACTTCACAGTCAAAAAAATTTCAAAAGGAAAAAGTCATGAGCTTTGGAGAAGTCAGGCCTGGGTTGAAATCCTGGTTCAGCCACTTAGCTGTGGTGACCTCAGATAAGATGCCTAAAATCTCTGGGAGTTCCCACTTTTCTTATTTGTAAAATGAAGATAATAAAATCTTTCTTAAACAGACCTATACATGTAACTAGATAACTACTGTCATACCTGGAATACAGTGCAGTGAACTAAACCTTCATAAATGTGACTTATTATTAAGTGTACCAGTTAGCAATTACTGTCTACAAAGTAACGGAAAACCTGACTAGCCATTGCTAAAACAAATGGGTTAATTATCCAACAAGAATTCTGGAGGAAATTGGCTGCAGGGATTGACTCGTCTGTGGTGTTTTTGTTGTTATTGTCTCTTTCCTGGTGATCACAAGATTGCTGCCATAGTTCTAAGCATCTTCTCATAGCGACGTCCTTAGCAAAAAGAAACAGGCAGATGTGAGGGGCTTGCCTCTTACCAGGGGTGACTCTGCCCCCGGACTCCTCCCCTTGATGAGCACCCTTTCACGTCCCCTTGCCTGGAACTCGTCTTGTGGCCAGCTTCAGGGAAAACCTGGAAAGCAGCCTTTGGGGAAGGGGAATGAGATGGTCATGCCTGTCTTGACTAAAGCCCTGCCATATAGCAGAACCACCTGAGTTACAGTATAAATGTGTGTGTTTCAGTGTACATGTAGGTGTATGTATGCATACTACATATAAACATACATGCCTGGGTCTCACCACAGACCAAATGATTCAGAACCACTGGTCATGATTTTATTGAGAAAACAGGTTGAAAATGAGTTCCACAGTTCAAGACCCAAGCTGGTACTGACATCCGGGCCAGGCAGGTGTTTTACGTAAGAGCTTGTAGCAATATGTTTACATAAAATATTGTAAAAATGACAATGAGAGGGTTCATTTGAATGCCTACCTCATGGAGCCTATTTTATTCATTATGCTTCCTACTCCCCGACATAATCCATCTTCCCACTGGAATGTCAGCTCCATGAGGCAAGAGTCTGTGTTTTGGTCACTGTGCCTAGAACAGGCACAATGACCAATGACAGGCACAATGAAGCTGGCACTTGGGAGTGCTCAGTCAGTACTTGTCAAAACAGATGACGTTATGTCCATGCACTGTCTCATTTGGTCCTCCCAACACCCCTTTGGGGTTATGATAGTATCACTGTACCCATTTCACACTCGAGACTCAGAGGTAGGAAGTCACTTGGTCAAGATTACACAGCCAAGAAGCAGCAAGTTCAAGTCCTGGTCCAGACCCAGGGCTTCCTGGCCATAGAGCCCAAGCTACTAACCATCACACATGTCGCTTTGAGAACAGGACACCCTCATATGTTCTAATCCTTTCCTGGTTCCCGAGAGCCTCCTAAAGGGGGACCCTTTCTCCCCCTCGAGCAGCTCATCACCCTTCGGGGCTCCATCCTGGAGGACGCCACACCCACAGCCATGAAGCATGGGACCGGGCGGGGCCTGCCCCTGAAGGATGCCCTGGAATATGTCATCCCTGAACTTAACATCCACTGCCTGCGGCTGGCGCTCAACACTCCCAAGGTGACGGAGCAGCTGCTGAAGCTCGACGAGCAAGGGGTGAGCTGGGGCCAGGGTGGGAGCTACCGGGGCACAGCCAGTGCCCGGCTCCTGTTACCTCTTTCTGTCTTCGTCACTTTCCCCACCCCCCACCCCCCCCAAAAAAACAGAAACCAACTTAAGCTAATGTCAGTAAAAAGAGAAATCTGGTATCAAATTCTGAGGATGCCAAGAGCTGGAATGTGACTGGGTCTCAGGAGGAAACCAGTCTAGGGATGAGAAGTGTGTGTTTGCATGCACGCATGTGTGCACACATGCATGCTCGTGTTCCCTTCCTCCCTCTGTACACTGGTCCCTCTGCCTCTCTGGCCCTCCTTCAGCTCCCAGAGTGGCTGTAAGAATTACAGCCTCTTGCAGAGACCATCTCACTGATTCTCAGCCTGGGAGAACCTCAACCCGGCCCACACTTAGGTCAGGCATCTGCCCATGGTCCAGTCACCAGTGACCAGGAGAATCTGTAGAGAGATTAAGAATAGGAGGCATGGACACCCTGCCATGCCTCTCTGGAATAGGAAGGAGGGAGAGGGACAACTGGGACATGACCCCATGCCTCTTTCCTTCCTCTGGCTGTGGTGCTAAATTCCTGTGTGGCTCCAGCAGCTTTCTGGGCTCAGTGCCTGAGAAAGCCCCCTTTGTTCTGTTCCCTCTGACATCTCTTCCTGGCCTGCCTCCATAAAGCCACTCTCGCCCCTGCAGCTCTCCCGGAAACACAAAGTGGGCATCCTCTACTGCAGGGCAGGCCAGAGCTCGGAGGAGGAGATGTACAACAACGAGGAGGCCGGCCCCGCCTTCGAAGAGTTCCTCTCCCTGCTTGGCGAGAAGGTCTGCCTGAGGGGCTTCACCAAGTACGCCGCCCAGCTGGATGTCAAGAGTGAGTGGCCTGGTGGGGAGGCCAGCTAGATAACAGATGAGGCAGGCCACCCCACACACCCACCTGCCCACCTGACAGGTGACAGCCCAAAGGCCCAGTGGGCAGTGGGAGCTCTGGGTCCCCACTGGTGGGAGTGCAGGTAGGGCAGTCTCTTTGGAAAGGGGCAGAACACATTCTGGTTCCGTCTGAAGATTCACTGACTCTGTGTGTCTCAGCAAATACAGTGCTAGACATGGCCTCTGAGCGCTCAGCAAGCGTGTGTTGGGATGTGTCCTGCATACTCACAGCCGCAGACCCCGGCCAGAGCCCAGTGTGTGCAGACAGAGCTGTGACACATTCGCTCAGCAGCGTGCTCTGTGGCCATGACGACAGACTGGGGCCACACACATTGGCTGTAAGAGTGTGGCCAGTGGTTCTCAGAAGAGTGGGCACTGAATGATGCCTTTTACAGAACAATTATTTTAAGACCACACTCAATACAGTGTTTGGAGGTTTGTTATTACATAATAAAACTCTGAAAAACAAGGCAATGATGGATACTATGTTCAGGATAGTGGTTGCCCCTCCGGGGAGAAGGTGTATATAACTGGAAAATGATTCATTAATATGTCATTGGTGGCCTGTTGCTTAAGGTGCATGGTAGGTACAATGTATATGTTAGAGCATCCCCCACACGTACACATACACAAGTAATTTAGTGTGTGATGTATGGGATTGCAGTGATTCATGACAAGTAGTTCGGGGTTAGCAGTGGAGGGTGATACTGTGAGCTGGCATGGCTCCTGGAGAGCCATGAGAGGACTACCCGTTGACCTTGGGGGTGGGCTGTGGACCTTGGGTTAGTGGCTCAGGCTGAGTCAGAAAACCCCAAGATGGGACCCTGGCTTGCTCACTCACTCTGTGCCTTGCCTTACCAAGCCTCAGTTTCCTCGTCTGGAAAACAGAGGCCTGGATAAGAAGACCAAGCTTCAAGGGCTGAATCAGGAGTTGAGTAGGTGCCTGTGGCTGTCATTAGCATCACCTTCGCCTCTTCCATTGAAGGAGGCGGCATGAGGAATAGCATCTTTTTGTGCCAGTTGCTGGTTTTGTGGTCTCTGCTTTGCCTTTCTCTGCCTCAGTTTCCTCATCTATAAAGTGACGATAATAACTACATTTACCTCAGAAGCAACTGTGTTGAACCCAGCGTACTGCGCCTTCACTTTGCGCTGGGCACCAGACCTGTCCGGCCTCCCAGAGCTCCAAGGGAGTGTGTCCCCTGCCGTGTGCTGATGGGGGCACTGTGGTTCTGTCAGTGGACCACTGAAGGGGCAGTGCACTCGGGAAAAGGAACAGGGGACTCATTATCCCCCTTCTCAGACAGATGCCTGCTCCCAAGGCTCAGCATCCTCCACTGAGTGACAGCCGTACCCTGGCCGCCTCCCGCCTTCAGTGGCTCATTCTGGGGACCTGAGGCCTGGTGCAGTGCCTTACAGAGAACTGGTTCTCAAATAAACATCACCTGCTGTCCGTCGTTGCAGGTGACCTTGGGCACGCCCCCCGTGCCCCGGTTTCCCCTGCTGAAACATGGAGCCAGTTATCAGTTGTGCTTCTTTCTCCCTGGTCATAGTCCCCTCATGTTAGAGGCAGCCAATATCCTGACCCCGTCGATTTTCACTTTTTCCCCCTCACAGTTTTGCTGCCTTACGTGCACGCCTACATAATACGCTTTATCTGCTTCCGAATGTAATGTGGGTGCAGTCACACAGTCTGAGCCCCGTTGTGATGGGCATCTTTCACTCATCATTACATCCCTGGGATTCAGCCCTGTGGGTGGCCAGGGCTCATCCCTTCTCGTGGCCATGTATTTTGTCACAGTATGAATACATTGGTTTGTCAATCCATTCTTGTGACTGACATCGGGAGATACTTGTACCTGTATCCCAGGGCACGTGTGTGGAATCATCTAGATTATGGTCCTACAAGAGGAGGTACTGGGTCACCCATGAAGCCTATGTTCAGGTTCAATAGATATTGCTAAAAAATGTTCCCATGCGGTTGTACCAATTTACATACCTGACCAGCCATATAAACAGTTCCAGTTGCTCCACATCCTCACCAACCCTTGGACTATCAGACTTCTGCAATGCTGCCAGTCTGGTTGGTGTATGATATAAGGTTTCCTTTTTATCTAAATGTATTTAATTTTAAGGAGTGGAGTTAAGTGAAAACACCAAGTTCAAAACTGACGCAGATGGTATGTGGGAGATGGCAGAGGCCTAGAGGTTTGGGAAACATGGCGCTCACTGGTGTTTCTGTTCCAGCGGACTCCACGGGAACCCACTCCCTCTACACCACCTACCAGGACTACGAGATCATGTTCCACGTCTCCACCCTGCTCCCTTACACCCCCAACAACAGGCAGCAGGTCAGTAGGGCCCAGGGTGGGGGCCCCATGTGATTTCCAGCTAATGCGTGGCTGAGCCCCAAGGCACTCTCTCCCCAGGCTTAGTGGGTACTGCCTTGTGCAGCAACTGGAGGCCTTTGGCCTTGGACCCTCTGCACCGTGGTCGCCTCACCTGGGTCAGGTGTTACTTGATGTTAGCTGTTTGTTGGCCACCCTGCTGGCCTCTGACTACCCCCAGCTCTTCTTAGTGGTCTCTTGAGTCCCCGGGGATCCCGTGGGGGGAAAATTGAATCCTTCATGAATGTTATTTCAACTTCAAGTGACAGAAATGCAAACCAAACTTGCGTAAAATGGGATTATGCTACATTATACATTTCTCAAGTGCTGGAAGACTCTAGCTTTAGGTATGACTGGATCCAGGTGCTTGAACAATGTTAGGAATCCTTTTCATTCTTCACCTCTAGCTTTCTTCATAGTGGCCTTATGTATAGGTCTTCCCAAGTAGTGGCAAATAGAGCTGTGCCTTCCATGTGTCCCAGAAAGGTTTCAGAGCTGAATTTCATTGGACCATTCGCTTGCCAGTCCCTGGGCCTGGGGTGGGGATGGACTGGGCTGACTGGCCAAGCCTGAAGCATGTGCCCACCCATAGAGAGAGTGAGTGGGGTCAGGGAGGTGCTTTCCCAAAGCGGTTGGCCTGTGGCTGCCAGAAGAAGGAAGAGGTGAGGTACCGGGTGGGCAACAACAGCGAATGCCTGCTGCTAGGGGGCTGCTCTCCTACACGCGCCATGCAGGCTCGGTCCGGGAGCACATCTTCCTGGTTTCTAGTGAACAGAAACCCCACAGATTTTCAACGGTTTGGGAGGGGTATTTGTTTTCAGTTGGTACAGGTGACATTGTAGATGTCATAGGCCAAAAATGATCACCTGTGAGTGAGTGATTTCATAAGGTTAACCTGATGGCATGCAATGACAGCACTGGCCTCGGAGTTAGACCTAAGTTTGAGGTCTTTCTTTGCCACTTCCCAGCAGTATGTTCTGACCTCTCTGAGCCTCAGGTTCGTCCTCAGTAAAAATGGATGGAATGGTAGCACCCATGTCTCAGGGTCATTGGCAAAGGTCCCTTCTTGTGTGAAACCAGAGCACGAGGCAGGGCCTGGCAAGAGGGGCAGAAGAAGCTGTACCTACTCCTGGGTATTTGGAAGGTGTGGTAGGGAAGAGCTTGGGTTTTGGAATCAAGCAGAAGTGGATTCGAATTCAGTGTCTTTCCCTCCATGACTGTAATGTAGGATAAGTCATGTGACTGCTTGTGAGCCTGAGCTTTCTCATCAGGGAAAAGGAGTAGGATGAGTTCTGCCACATAAGATTGTTGTGAAGAGTAAGTGCGATTATAACTTTAAGATGAGTGTAAAATGCCAGCCATAATAAATGGGTACTTTATCTAGCAGTTTCATTTAATTCAGTTTAAAACACACATAAAGAACGAACAGTATAACAAAGACTAATGTGAGTCATGCTGCTCGGTGTCTGGACTTCGCACTGTGGGCCACCTCCCACAGAACTAACTGCGTGCAGCTCTAGTCTGTGGATTCCTAGCCGCAACGTGAGGGTTAAACTGGTGTAAGTAAGAGCAGTGTGATTCAGCAAATAGGTAATACATGAATACATCATCTCCTGCAAAGGTAACAGTCTTCCTCGGACTGACAAGCAGGGGAGAGAGTACAGGGCTCCCAAAGGCCAACATGAAGCCGCAGCTGCCCCGGTCTTCTCAGCTCAGGGAAGGGACAGCGGCCTTGGATCAGCCCTGTGCACTGTCTCCAGTCTGCCACAGCCGTCACCCGTGAGCTTGGCCTTGAACAAGTTGAAGACCACCAGCCCTTGCTGCCCTCCAGCAGGTGTTTCTTGAGCACCTACTTTGTTTCAGGCACTGAGAAGTGGGCAGCAAACAAAACCAACAGAACCCCTGTTCACATGATTCGAGGGGAGACAAATGAGAAAGAAAAGGGAGAGGGAAAGGCCGCTGTTAGATAAGTGTTGATAAACATTAAAGAACGGGGACAGAAGAGATGGGGCTGTTGGTGGGGAGAGATCTTGGATAATGCGGTCGGCAAATCCTGCTCAGGAGGATGACGTCTGGCCGAGACCTGGAGGAGGAAGGGAGGGAGGGAGGCACGTGGGGTCTGCAGGAAGAAGGTTCCAGGCAGAGGGAATGGCCAGTGCAGAGGCCTTGGGGAGGAAATCTTTCTGGTGTGTTTGAGGAGCAGCAAGAGGCCAGTGTGGCTGGAGCAGAGTGAGCCGGGGGAGTGTGGATACAGATGTCAGGTGACGGGGGCAGATCGTGTGCAGGTCCCTGGGCCGTGTGGGAACTTTGTCCTGTACGCTGAGTAAGGAGTCTCTGAGCAGGGAGAGGTGTGATGACCCAGGTGTCCACAGCTCCCTCAGACTGTGGGGTGGGTGGGACCAGGAAGACAGTGAGGAGACTGCTGTGATGGTCCAGGCAGGACCCTTGAGCCAAGCTGACCTATGTCGCTTCCTCTCCCACTCCGTGTCCCATTTTCCAGCTGCTACGGAAGAGGCACATAGGAAACGACATCGTGACGATCATCTTCCAGGAGCCGGGGGCACTGCCTTTCACCCCCAAGAACATCCGCTCACATTTTCAGCACGTCTTCATCATTGTCCGAGCTCACAACCCCTGCACTGACAATGTCTGCTACAGGTACGCACCTCCACGTGTGGCTCCAGGGAGCCATGCAGGGGACCACCCCGCTCCACGCCCTGCACACACGGGAAATCCAAAAGGCTGTTTCCGGCACCCAGGCGGCATGCGGGGAGAGGCAGGGCGCGGACGGCCGGCTCAGGCGGGCCGCCTCCTGTGTTCTGCGTCTGTGCTTCAGTGGGAGAGCTCGTCCACACACTCCCACACCTCCCAAGAAAATGATTCTCAACCACAGAGGGGCGTGGCACCCCGGGTTTGATAAGAAGCCATTAGGGATATGTATTTTCCAGGAATCTTTTGGTTGCAAGTGACAGAAAACCCACCTCGATCTGACTTAAGATAAAAAGGCAATTCTGTATCCTGGCTCTCAGGAATGACGCGTTCAGGCCTGCTTGGATCTGCTCCTCTTGCCTGCACATTGCTTTATTTGCTGGCAGCTCTGAGCATAGCATCCTACCATTTGCAAATCCAGCAAAAGAAGAGCTTGCCTTTCCCAGGAAGAGAAGCTCTAGAATTGAGTCCAATTCACATGTCTGGGGGTCAGGTGTCCATCCAAGAGGAAAACCACCGGCCATACCTGGGCAACAGGTGTGTGGACTGAAAGACGCACAGGAGTAATGTCCCAAGGGGAAATAAGAAGATGGAGGAATCAAGGCAGGGCAGGCAGGGGCCCCTCAGGAGGTACTGCCTGAGCGTTTTAGTTCAAAGATCAACAACCGACAGAGGCCTCAAACCCACTCCATGTCTTCCCCAAGCACACCAGTTGTCACCCCGTCCCCCAAGGCCAGGTGGAAAGCTGTCGGGCTGTGGGGTGAGGATAGATCTGTGGCTCTTGAAAGCGGGCCAGTCCGTAGCTCAGGCCCAGGTGGAGGTCAGCACTTGGCCCTGGAACAATCCTGCAGGTGCTGGGGAGTGAGCTAGGAAGTGCTACTTTTGTGTCTTTTGATAACAGTTTAAAATTCAAAAAATACAAAGGGTAAAATTAAAAAGTAAAGAAAGATCCAAGTCTCCCACCTCTAACCCCAAACAACCCAGTGGCCCTCACAGAGGCACCTCCTGGTACCAGTTTATTATGCATTTTAATATTCTGTGCACATATAGGCAAGTACAAGTATTCCTTCTCCACCTTTTTAATGCAAACGGTAGCATATCACACACAGCCCACATCTTGGACTTCTCCCTCAGTAGTCCTCGAGATCTTTCCAAACGAGCATGCAAAGAGCTCCGTAACATGCCGTCATGTGGATGCCTGAGACTCTTCCACCACCCCTGTCAAGGGTCATGGGGTTGTTTGCTGTCACTTGCTATTACAGTCCATCCTGCAGTGAATAACCTCTTTACTCTAATTGCACATGTGTCTAAGCTTATAGCTGGATAAATTCCTGAAATAGAGTGACCGGGTCAGGGGACCCATGCGTGGGCACACTGGCATCCTTGGTGGAATTGCCAGAGTCTACCAGTTGCCTCTCAGCCAGGAGTGTGAGAGAGAGAAGTGGGGCACTGGTGTGCAGCACTTGCTGACAAGGACCACCGTGCTGGATGTGCTGCAGGGCCTCCGTGCAGCACAGGCCCAGGCCTGAGCCCCCTCCCCACCCCCGCCACCCCTCACCTATTTCTCAGGGCATTCAGCAGCAGCAGCAAGTGCGTACACTTTGTGACTTGAGGTCACTCAGGTGGTGTCCCCTGTTCCTCAGCAGCTGAAAGGTAGCTCTGGTGAGGGAAGATGGAGTTGTGCTGTGCATGGGTGTGCACACACACTAGGAGGAGGAAGCGGCCCTCTCACCGCACATCAGAGGCGGGGGCTGAGCTGGGTTGGGTGGACCTTTCTCCTCGTCCTACCCCCCACTCCCAGGAAGTACAGAAAATAATGTAACAGATGCCCATGTGTCTACCACCAGATTTAACAGATGTTAACATTTTGCCATGTTTGCTTCAGCTCTCTTCTCTTTTCTTTATTTTTAAAGAAAGAAAATGTTAGAGATGCAACTAAAGTTGCATCCTCTCCCTTCTTTTTACCTCTTTCCCCTCAGGCAGCTCCTCTCTGGACAGACCTTACCTTGTCCCCACTGTGTTCCTGAACACATTCCATCACAGTGCTCATCACACTGGAGAAATGACTTACTGATGTGGCTCTTGCCTCCCTGGAAGGCAACCCCATGCTGTATTCACCCTCACGTGTCTACTGTGACACAGTGCTTGCCGTACAGTTGGGTCTCAAGAGACATTTTTGCTGGCTAGATAGATGCCTGGCCCAGACACTGTGGACACTGAGAAAATAGTTGTTGGACAACCATGAATACTCTAGAAATACTTAATGAACTACAGTGAGGAGGTGACGTGGTGGTCACACCATCTCCTGGTTGTGCCCTGGGTTGCTGTTCCTTCCCATTCCAAGTGTGCTGCTTCCACATGGCATACCAGCATCCCTGCAGCCTGCAGGCTGCGGAAACCCAGTTTTCCTCCTGCTGGGGAAGTGAGGGTCTGGCTGTTCTGATTGTCCAGAAGCTTTCAGCAGCGTAGTTTCATGATTCTTAAAATCATGAGCCAGGACCATGGGAAAAGCCAAAATCTGTCACTGTAAGCACCTAAGTACTGAATGAAAAAGTTGCAAAGCTGTTCACATCTGTAAAGCACAGTCTGAGTGTACCATTAATCAGAGTGCTATTGAACTGGTGATGTCATCTCCTCTGTCCTTCTGCCTGGGGACAAGGACATGCCTACCAGGTTTCCCACAGAAGAAAAATCCATGTGGCCTCTGAAGAACCTCTCCACTAGGGAATGCCTTTTGCTGTCAAACCTACACACACTGTACATTGGTAGAAATCTGTTTCTTCTTTGTCCATCTAAGATTAAATCCTTAATTTACTTTAAATTTAAATCTTTAAATTACTTTAATCCCTGTTGAGCACCTGTGCTGGCGCTGGGGCATCAGCTAAGCCCAGGGTGTAGTGCAGCCTGCCCACGTGGCCCTCCTGGACGTGGAGCAGGGTCGCTGGGTGGACCCTACCTCAGTCATGTGACCAGGCCCAGGGTGGAGGTGCGGAGCGGGGGGTCTGCCTGGTCGCAGGCATCAGGCAGGAGATCCCTCTGCAGTCTGCGCAGCCTGTGGTCCCTTCCAGTCCTCGCTTCGTGGGGCAGCTGCAGTGATCCTTGCAGATTTCAGTCTGGTTGTCACTCTTGGCCAGCACCTGAAACAGGGACCCAGCAAGAAACAGATGTCCCCCTCAGGGTTTTAACTGAAGGGACTGACTGCTACCAGTGTGGCTCGGTCAAAGGAACATGTACAGGAAAGTGAGGCGTCCAGGGACCAGAGGAAGCAGGGAGTCATTACCTCACCCCCTCAGCTTGACAAGGTCCAAGGGAGATGGGAGAAGGTTCAGGAAGCTAGGAAAAGCTATGGCTCTGGGAGAGTGGCCACCCGACAGGAACTGTGGCTTTGAGTAAAGGACCAAGGACTACAGCCACGGCCACTATCCTAGCCCCACAGTGGGGCGCTAAAAATTAATAAATACTCCACCCCCGGGGAGGCAGTGAAAAGAAATAAATACTCTCTCCTCTCACCTTCCCATCATCTGCCCGTGCTGCTGTTGGCTGAACCCGACTGGAAGCCAGAGGGCATGGGAACACAGGTGGAAGCGACAGTCCACGGAACCCACCTTGTGGGACGCTGAGCAGGGCGGAGAGTGGCAGCGACTGGGTCGGGGACACCGGTGGGGAATAGCGGCCCAGATCCAGAAAGCGTTGCTCCTTCTCATGATCAGGGTGAAAAGTGCTGACACACCGTCAGGGTCCCGCCTGGCCTGGCCCCCGGCGACCTTACCAGAGAGTCTCCCGCACTTTGCTCTCTGGGCTCTGACTCCTCTCTGCTCTTGCGGGTTGGCCACATGCCGAACCCACCACCTCCAGCGACCACTCTTTTTGTTCTTCCTCTGGCTCCTGCTCAGCCTCAGATCCCAGCTTAATTGTCACGTCTTCAGAGAGGCCTTCCTGGATTCCCCGCCCCAGATCAGGTCCTTCTATTGTTTTGTCATACCCCACTCTCTTTTTTTGTCTTTGTAAGTTAATTTGTGAGCATGTTTATTTAATATGTCTCTCCTAGATTAAAGGCTTAGGAGGGTAGGGGCCACTATATCCCAGTGCCCGAGGGGGAAGGTATCCCAGAAACGGTTGTTGAGTGAATGCTGCACTATCTGGCTTGTCAGGCTGGGGAGAAGGGTTGGGAGTCAAAACCTGAACAAGCCTCTGAACAAGTGTTCGGAGTTCATGGAATATGTTTTAATTAAGAATCTCATTTTTAAAATTACTCTACAGTAGGAAGAGAGCAGTAGGAAGCCTCTTCTAACCCCATACTCTTCAGGTTACTGTAGAGGCTGAATACCATGCTCTAAGATAAGCCGGCGAACTTACTGCTCACTCATTTACAGCAGCTTGTACCACTTTTTTAATCATCGTCATGTGAACAGATAACTCATGGTGACCTGTAGCCCCTTGAAATGTCTTTCAGCAAGAGTCGCACTCCCTGGCCGTGAGCGATCACTCTAGCAGGTGCTGTGGCCCGTTTGCTCAATATTAGATATTGCCCTTTAGCTGCTGGGTCTCAACTGAGTTTGGTCATTACAATATCCAAAGATACTCATGAAAATCTCCAAACTTACTGGCAGATCTTCTCCTCCACTGAAGCTCGAGGCTGCTTCTGCCCAGAAGCCTCAGTTGTCAGGGAGCCTGCCTACCTCTGCTCCGTTTCTCCACCGCACACTTCTGCCCCCAGCCCTGCTGTTGGCATCTCACCTGTCCAGGGATGGAGCAAAGGAGAAAACAGGAGACAGGGAAGTGTCCCTGAGACTGTGTTCACAGCTGGCTACATGCTTTCTGGGCTCCTTCTAACCATAAAGGTCACCTGGGAGACCCCTAACTTGGGGGTGTGGCAGGGGTAATGGGGCTCACTATCCAGCTTTCTCTAAAGATTTTCTCCCATCAGTATCCTCCCTCTATATATAGTTTGCATAGTGCGTGAGACGGTTCAAGAGTTTTGGGGAATAGGTTTTAGATCATTTCCTTTTTATATCCCCACTCAGTTGCTATCTGATTTCCATCATAGTGGCATCTTGGTCAGAACTGCAGTAGGCAGGGTCATTTTCAAAATCACCTTGTTGAGGTCATTTATATCAGTCAGGTATTCTGATTGATAAGCAATAATGCTGCTTAATAAACCACCCCAAGACTCAGTGACTCACAAATATTGAATTAATGGTTTTTTCTAGCTCACACATTTGCAGGTCAGCTAAAGTCTGGCTGACCTTGGCTGTAGGCCACAGGTTGGGTCCATGTCTGCTACAGGTGCCCCTCATCCTTCTGGGACCAGTAGGCCTCCTAGGGCGTGTTCATCCCATGGCAGCAGTACAGGAGGCAAGCTGGGCCTCCCATCCCCCTCCTTGCATGCCTTTGCTTGATACCCATTGTCCAATCAAGACATGTGACCAGGCCCAGGATCGATGAGATGGGAATGGACCCTCCCCACAAAGGAGTGAATTTTTGTCAAACTATAATGTATCACATGGTTTGTATGTATATAAAATGGGAATAATTGGAGTTGAACAATGCAGGAGACTTATTCTTTGAACATCAATGGATATTCTAACATCCACTGTGTAGGAAGTAAAAATGCATGTAAGACTTTCTAAAATTTCCAGTCTAGCCAGCAACTTACTAATTAGAGGTAGACTTCCATTCTTAAAAAAGAGAGTTCCTTTTCTGATCATATATTTTCTTTCTAAAGGGAATCTCAAGTGCCTTTTACCATCTAAATGATTTCTCCCTCCTCAGTATGGCTGTGACCCGATCCAAAGACGCTCCTCCCTTTGGCCCCCCCATCCCTAGTGGAACCACATTCCGCAAATCCGATGTCTTCAGAGACTTCTTGCTGGCCAAGGTGATCAATGCGGAGAACGCCGCACACAAGTCCGACAAGTTCCGCACCATGGCCGCCAGGACCCGGCAGGAGTACCTCAAGGACCTAGCTGAAAACTGTGTCTCTAACACACCCATTGATTCCAGTGGCAAGTTCAACCTCATCTCCCTGACCTCCAAGAAGAAGGAGAAGACCAAAGCCCGGGCAGGCGCCGAGCAGCACAGCTTGGGGGCCATCGCCTGGAGGGTGGCAGCTCAGGACTATGGCCAGGGGGTAGAAATCGACTGCATTTTGGGGATTTCCAATGAGTTTGTGGTGCTCCTGGACCTACGCACCAAGGAGGTGGTATTCAACTGCTACTGTGGGGATGTCATTGGCTGGACCCCAGACTCCTCAACACTCAAAATCTTCTATGGGCGTGGGGACCACATCTTACTCCGGGCCTCTGAGGGCTCTGTGGAGGACATCAGAGACATCGTCCAGAGACTGAAGGTAAGGGAAAGAGCTCAGCGAGGGTGCAGCAGTCATGGCTTGGCAGAGGCCTTAGGAACCATTGAAAGGCTTCCCCCAGCCCTGTCAGTTAGGCTGGGACCCTGACGGGCCTCAGAGAATCAGAATTGTCACTTACACTCCAGGGGTCTAATGGGTCCTGCCACCTGGGTTTTTTCTGGGGAAGGTTTGGGCCAGGGATCTGAGGCCAACCATGTCATTACCTTGGGAAGACTAAAGGCATATTTATTCACTCTAGATCTTGATTGAAAATATAAGCTTTAAGTTTACATTAAAAATGTAAGGGTACTTTGGCTCTGGACTGGGTAGCTCAGTTGGTTAAAGCATCATACTGATACACCAGGGTTGTAGGTTCAATCCCCAGTCAGGGCACATACAAGAATCAAGCGATGAATGCACAAATAAGTGGCACAACAAATTGATGTTTCTCTCTCTAAAATCAGTAAAGAATTTTTAAAAATTAATGTAAGGGTACTTTCTAGAAGAATTAAAATAGACTGAAAAGCTTCCAGGCCATTAAAGGACAGGGCATAAGCAGGGGTGGGGGGAATATAAGAAAGCATGATAAAAGAAACATAAAATTATATGGTAGGAATAATTCCATATCCATAATCACAATAAATGTGAGCAGTTTAACTTACCCTGAAAAAGACAAAGATTCACAGTCTGGACAGAAATTTTACCCAAAACTGGTGGGCAGCTCAGGCTCAGACCGTCGGCCAAACCAAGTGTGACAGATTGGTTTCTAATCAGATGACAACTTACTTAGTAATGGCTGCTTGAAGCACTGTGCTAAGAAGTACGGAGGCCGACCCTGGCCAGGTCGCTCAGTTGGTTAGAGAGTCGTTCTGATGCACCAAGGTCGTGGGTTTGATTCTTAGGGCACATAAGAAGAAGCAAACAGTGAAAGCATAAATAAGCAGAACAACAAATCGATGATTCTCTCCTCCCTCTTGCCTCTCTCAGAAATCAATAATTTTTTAAGTACTTCCTGATTAAGTTCAGGTTGGATTGGTACAGCCCTGCTCTTGGCTTCCCTCACTCCAAAATTCATGCCCAGGTTTAGTATTTAGATTTTCCAGTGGGATGCAAGGTTCATGAGCCAGAGTTCAGCTTCGCTCACTTGCTTATCTCACTTGGGTAGATCAAGGCTGGCACACTGTTGCTGTTCAGTCACTACTGATTAGTTGGTTAGTTGAATGAACGTATTGAACCCTGCCTCTGTATTAATTGTTTTACATGCATGATTTCGCCATCCTCTACCCACCCCATGGAGTGTAAGTGCTATTCTTACACCCATTTGACAGATGAGGAAATTGAGGCTCAGGAAGCTGTAGATACTCACATAAGGTCAGACAGCCAGTAGGTGACAGATTAGGATCTGAATTGAGGTATTTCTGACTCCAAAACCAATTTTTGCCCAAACTGCAGACTGGTAGCCTACTGCTTACTCAGAATGTCCACTTACATGTCTATAAGGCCCTGAAACTTAACATGTTGAGGAGCAAACTCCTGCTTTTCCTTCCCCTACCTCCCGGAGTTTTCCAGTTTCTTGTCTCAGTAAAGGAGAAGTCTGGCACCCCCTCTGTTGAGGTCGGAAGCCTTGGCATCAGCCTCACCCCTCTCTTTCACACCCACATCCAGTCTCCCAGCTCCACGTCCAGCAGGGATGCTCCAGCTACTTCTCCCCTCCCACAGCCTCCACCCTGGCCTCTCCTCAACTGTCCAGTGGCCTCCTCGCTGGTCTCCCTTTGCCTCTACCCTTGCTGCGCTGTGGTGTGTTCTCAGCATGGTAATCAGAGGGATCAGATCACATCACTGCTCTGCTCAAAACCCTCAGCTCACTCCAGGGGAAGACAAGTTGTTATGGTGGCCCATGAGGTCCTTTACAGCATGGCTCCCTGTCACTGTCTCTGTCCCAGGCACAGAGGGTTCTGATGTTTCCCAGTGTGTGAGGCAGGCCTCCAGCCCCGGGGCCTTAGTACCACCTGTGCCCTCGCACTGGAACACCTTTCCTGGTCTGCACGTCGCTCGCTCCATGTCTTCCTGCAGGCCTTTGGTCAGATGTCACCTTGTCATCTAAAACTCTAAACCCTCTCCACCCACTGTCCCTGCTTCAATTTCCCTCAATAACTTCTTACCACCAGCTTAAGTGTGTTTGTGTATATGTTGTTCACCGCTGTGTCCTCAGAATCTGGTATGCAGCAGACACTCGGGGAACTCGTACTGAATGCATGCCACCCTGTGGTAACAGCAAAAGCAAACATTCATAGAGGACTAACTGCATCAGACCCTGCTCAGCACCTTGCAGAACTTGACATTTCTTTCTCAAAGAAACCCAGCGTAGGAGGTCCCAGGCTGGTGTGACTCCATTGGTTGAAGCATCATCCTGTAAACCAAAAGGTCACGGGTCTGGTTCCTAGTCAGGGCACATATCTAGGTTGCAGGTGTGGTCCCCAGTTGGAGCACGTGCAAGACGCAACCAATCACTGTTTCTGTCTCACATCAATGTTTCTTTCCCTCTTTCCTTCCCTCCCTCCCTCCATTAAGAGAGCTCTCTTAGATCAATAAGCATGTCCTCGGGTGATGATTTTAAAAAAAACACAGCGAGGGAGATATCATTATTATCCTCACTTCACACATGAGGAAACTGAGGCCCAGAGAGGTATAACAACTCGCCCAGGATGCTGAGCGAGTTAAATACCTGGGTTCTTCAACACGAGGGTATCCTTCCTCCCAAAATCGCAACAGCAGCTCGCACTTCTTGAGCAGTGACCATGCCAGCACTGCCAGATTACACATTTCACCCACACCCTCTCTGTGCTGTTCATCCCACGCCCACCCCCAGGCCTGCTGTGGGTGCAGTGTTTCTGGAGCACATCTCCACAGCCCCCCTCACCATCTCAATGCCCCGGAGCCCACAGAGTTACCAGGCAGCCAGGAAGTGATGGCATAAACCATCTTCCGTGAAGGGCAGGTCCACCTTAAATGACTCAGGACAGCAAGTCTCTTCGTGAAGCCCTTCAGGGTGAGGAATCCACACCCTCCCTGGCAAGGCGGGATTCAGACATCTTTTGTTAAGTCAACAGGTTTTATTATGTGCCTGGCCCTGGGCTAGGTAGTACTGGGACACTGCAGTGACCATGATGGGTCCAGTCCAGCCCTCCTGGGGCTCCCACCTGAGGCAGATATTGAACAGGAATTGCGAGTGCCAGGAGCACAAAAGGGAGAGTGTTGAGGATGCTAAGGGAAACTTTCACAGGGGATGGTCCCAAACTTGAGGGTGGGTGCAGCCCAGGTGCATTCAGTTATACAGGTACCCAAGCTTAGCCTTCAAAGGATTTCATGATTCTATCTCTCTGGCTTCTCTTTTTGTTTGTTTGTTCAAGTGGAATTTTTTTTCTATTTCTTTTTCTTTTATTGTTGTTCACTGACAGTTGTCCTGCCTTTTTCCCTGTTGCTCTCCCCTGGCCTGCCCCCGTATTCCCACAGTCAAATCCTCCTCTCATGGTCTGTGCCCATGAGTCCTCCATTCATGTTCCTTGACTTGCCCCTTCCCCTTCTTTCCCCTGTTATCCCCCTCCCCCCTTTCCTCTGGTCACTGCCAGTTTGTTCTTCATTTCCATCTCTCTGGTTCTATTTTGCTCATTTCTTTGTTTTGTCGATTAGGTTCCACTAATAGGTAAGATCATATGGTATTTGTCTTTCACCACCTGGCTTATTTCACTTAGCATAATGCTCTCCAGTTCCATCCATGGTGTCGAGAAGGGTAGGAGCTCCTTTTTCCTTTCTGCTATTTAGTATTCCATTGTATAAATATACACAATTTTTTGATCCACTTATTTACTGATGGGCACTTAGGCTGTTTCCAGCACTTGGCTATTGTAAATATTGCTGCCATGAACATTGGGGTGCATAGGTCCTTTTGAATGGGTATTTCAGGATTCTTAGGGTAAATCCCCAGCAGTGGGATTGCTGGGTCAAAAGGCAGTTCCATCTTTAGTTTTCTGAGGAAATTCTATACTGTTTTCCACAATGGCTGCACCAGTCTACATTCCCATCAACAGTGCACTAGGGTTCCCTTTTCTCCACAACCTCGCCAGAACTTAATGTTTGTTGATTTGTTTATGATTGCCATTGTGACTGGTGTGATGTGGTATCTCATAGTGGTTTTAATTTGCATTTCTCTGATGGCTGGTGATGCTGAGCATATTTTCATTATCTCTCTGGCTGCTTTTTAAAAAACTGGGCCTGCATTTGCACGGGGCAGTGGTCAGCTAAAGCAGGTGGTGGGCATACCCTTTAGATGGGACAGGAGCACACCATTTGGTCATGGTTCTACCACCCTTCCTCTCACATAGATTACCCACCAAGCACCCCAGCTGGTGAGCCTGGCCCCCAGGGACGGTGGGCGGCTCCATGAGGAAATGGCTTTTATTCTGAGACCAGAGCAATAAGTAAGCATCATCATGGTGAAGAGTAAGGGGTAAAGAAACAAAAGAGAGAAAATGGCAGGCGGAGCAGCAGGGAACACAGCACAGTGGCTGAAAGCCTTGGGGAGCTGCCATCACCTCAATTCTGCCCCTATGAAATAAGCAAATTATTTGTACCCACCTTATAAGTGAGATACTGGTGAAATTGGGCACATAAAGGGCTTACACAGCACCTGCCACACAAAGATCAGTCCCCAGGAAAAGGGGGGGTTGATCTTTGAACTTTCAAAGTGGGGACCTGAGGCAGTGTGGCCGAATAACATGGCAGAGGTTTCTTCGAACTGTTACGTATGTCTGGTCTCATACAGTGTCCCCTCGGCCATGGGGCCCTTCTGGAACCTCATAAACTTCAGGAATGGATCTCTCTTTCCAATGTTTCTTTCTGTGGATTGTCACAAAAGCCAAGAGGACAGGCACTGCAATTTCAGGAAGCTGAGACAGTTACCTTACCAGCTCCTCTCCAAAATGACCCACAGCAGCTGTGGTGGGTAGTTGCAGACTGAGCTGCCAGTAGCTAAGATGAGGTGGGAGTTTGTTACTCTTGTGGTTACTGCTCAGACTGGTCAGAGCTGGCAGGGACAGCCTGGGCACTCATGTCCCTTCCATCTCATGGCTCCTCCTTTCCCTTCGGGGGTGTACTTTTTGCATGGTCACAGCAAAATCACTCCACATCCACGTTCCTCTCAGCTGGAAAGCAGACAGTGTGAGCATGGAGGGCAAGCAGTTTTCTTTTTAAGAACACAAATAAACATTCCATTACTTTGACTCATATCCTGTTGGCCCAAATCAAGTCACATGTCCACACCCAGATGTGGGGAAAGCTGAGAAATGTGGTCCCCAGCTAGGTGGCCCAGTGCCCAGCAAAACTCTGACTTGCAGGGGGAGGTCTTATTGCTAAAAGGAAGAAGGGGAGAATGGGGTCTGTGAAGGCATTTAGCACTGTTCCTGCAGCAGTGTCCAAGCTGCCCAGGCCTCTGCAGAAGGCTGGGCCCTCCCCAGGGCTCCCACGGCTGGGGCAGCCTGTTTGGTCACGGGCACAGACATGGACACACAGACTTGTCTGTGCGACCCACAGCCACAGTCTCTGGACACAAGGGGGACTGCTTCATAGGGAAGAATTTCGGCTCCCAGAGCAGAAGTGATAGGCTAGGGTAAATCTAATCATACTTTCTCTTTTGAGGCACTAAACAATTTTTTTAACTTTTTGATTATGGACAATTTTAAACACCCAAAGAGGTAGAGGGACTTCATAATGAGTTCCCGTCCCCATCTCCAGCTCCCACAGCCATCAGCCGTGCCACCCTGTGTCTGCTTTCCCTCTTCAACATCTGGTCGTTTCATCTGCAAACATCTCAATATTTATATCTACAACAGACAGACCCTTAAAGTTTTGTCATTATCATATGTAGAAAATTAACAATAATTTCTTACAGTTATGTAAACAAGTTGGGCTATAAAGTCAATTATGGGGTTTAAATCAACAATTTCCAGGGACAGGGTAGGAAGGAGTAGAAAGTGTCCGAGTACATCCCAGTGAGCGAGGATATTCAGTGTTTCGTGGCATTCCCATCCTAGACGTTCTCCTACTTCCCAGACCCTCACTGTCCAAATCAGGAACCGAACAGATGTGGTTACCTTTTTAGGTAAGTCCGTTCCCATTCAAACTCTTGTTCTTGCTTTCCACAGTCACAGGTGTGATCGATTTGGATTGCAAGGAAGGTTTGTGTGTGTGTGTGTGTGTGTGTGTGTGTGTGTGTGTACATATGTGAATGCATAGTGTGGCTTGTGACAGAAAATTCTCTCTCGCTGTGAATAGTGGTCAGAAAAGTGTGAAACCACCACTTCAATAGGCACACTAAACAGCACAATTTCTAGCCAGGGGCTGGCTTCTCCCAGGAACTTGGAGCCATCGCACATTCTCTTTCCTTAATGCAGTTTAAGAAAAGGGCAGGCAGGTCTTGATGGAGCTTGCTTAGTAGGCACACCTTGCTGGGTTCATCTTTTTATCCTGAGAAGAGGATGGAATCGCTAAGGACGTGCCAAAGGATTGGGTTTCTGTCCAGTGGGTCTTCGAGTCTGTGGTAACACTTTATTGCGGTGAAAATCTCACACAAATGAAGCAGGGAGTAAATTGGAGGCAAGGACCCATGTAGTCTGGTAAGTTTCAGGCTGAGGGACAATCTGATGAGATTGGAAAGGGGTTTGTTCCTCTAAGATTGATGTCATGAAGTAAAGAATATGGTGTGATCCCCACCCCGTCCCAACCTAGATAAAATCCCAGGATCTCTGGTTTGTTGCTTCTCCGACTGACTTTGGTTAGAATCGTTTTATCAGCCAGGATTCAGTATTCATGGCTTAAAACAACAAAAGTTCATGTCTTACCCTCTTTGGTTCATCTGGGATCTCTGCTCCACATGGTTCTAACTCTGGGACCCCAGGTGACCAAGCAGCCACTATCTAGAGTAATCCTGGTGGCTGTGGCAGAGGGGAAAGGCCAACAGAGGACCTTGCACTGGCAGTTAAATGCCCCAGACTAGATGGCATGCCAGTTCCATTCACAACACATTGGCCGATAAAGCCCCAGAGCCCACCTACCGCAAGGAGGCCAAGAAGTGCTATTTCGCCATACTGAGAAAGGAGGGGGACAGGGGAACTGCTGCCTCTCTGTGAGATAATAAGCCATATACCTGCGTGTCTGCATTTCCTCTCCAGACGTCAGGAGCCCAGGCTGGGACCAGGTGGGTGTTTGTATTCCTGCACCCTGGCATCCCCTGGGATGATAGGAGATCAGCTGGGTCTCGGCCTCAAAGGGCAGGATCTCACCAGCAGTCTTCCACAAGAGCTAACCCCAAACAGCCTCTGAGGCTACATTGCCCCTGTCGCCTGCAGGTGATGACCAACGGCTGGGAGACGGTGGACATGACCCTGCGGCGGAATGGTCTCGGGCAGCTGGGCTTCCACGTGAAGTACGACGGGACCGTGGCAGAGGTGGAAGAATATGGGTTTGCCTGGCAGGCCGGCCTCCGGCAAGGCAGCCGCCTGGTAGAAATCTGCAAAGTGGCCGTGGTTACTCTGACCCACGACCAGATGATCGACCTGCTGCGCACCTCCGTCACCGTCAAGGTGGTCATCATCCCGCCCTTCGACGATGGCACGCCCCGGAGGTAAGGGCATTCCCCCTGCGAGGCAGGTGGCGGCACGGGTTGGCAGCTCCCAGGGTGCTGACCCAAGGCCTCCCCAGGGCTGTCACTTAAGGCCCTTTGTCATTCAGAAGAGTGATGGAGAAGGCGGAGTGGGAGTCAGCATCCGCCGCACGGGTCATGTGTGTGAGTTACTGTTTAAGCACCCCATGCGCGCATTGTCCCATTTCATCTCCACCGCAGGCCCGTGAGGTAGACACCCCAGCAGCCCCATTTTCTGGACTATGCATGCAGTAGTAAAAGTAATTTGCCCCGAGGCACACTGCACTTCATTAATCCACACACATTTATTGAGACCCTACTATGTGCAAGCCCCCATCGAAGTGCTCTGGATAGAGCCATGTGCAAAATGTAGTGCCGGTTCCCTTGGCATTTTGTCCTAGAGGGAAAGGCAGACGATAACTAAATAGGCAGGTGGTGTCGGGTCAGGCAGCGATGAGATCTAAGGAAAGAATTAAAGTGGGGCAACTAAAGGGTCTGCCTGCGTTGTGGCGGGAGAGCCGCAGACATAGTGGCCAGAGAAGGCTCCTGGGCAGAGGTGGCCATCTGCTTTTCCCAACCAGCTGGTCCCAGGCGGGGACAAAGTGCAAGTGGGCGGGGACAGAGTGCAAGTGTGCGGGGACATTCGGGCAGTACGGGGAGGCTGGTGTGGCTGGAGCACTGTGAGCAGGGGTGGGAGAGGGACAGAGAGGGGGTGGGGGGGTAGACCGACAGGGGCTTTCTGGACACAGTGGCAAGCGTGGCATTATTCAGCAAGAAGCCAGTGTGGCGGGGTTGGTCCGTTTTCATTCTGTTTGTTTTTTTTAGTGGAATTTTTCAAACATATTAAAAATGTAGTGAGCCTACTATTTCATCATTTACTGGCATGTGGCCAGGGTTTTTGTGTGTTTGTTTTGTTTTTTAATCTCCAGTGTCCCCACCTCAGACTATTTGAAGCAATCCCAGTTCTTGGATTGTATCTCTACCCAATCAGGTCCTTTAAAAATTACTGCTACACTTAAAGACTTTAACAATAAGTCCATATCAGTTACACAATCTGTCTTTAACTTTCTGTCATGTTGGAGAGATACTTGGAAAAAACAGTAGTTTTGTTAATCAGGCTTCTCCTGTTGCATTTGGTTGATGTGTCTCTTCACACTCTTTTAATCTGTAAGTTCTCTCTCTCACTATTTTCCTGCAGTGTATTTGGGGAAGAAACCAGGCCACGGTTCCCCACTCCCTGGACCTGGCTGCTCGCGTCCCCCTGGTGTCCTTTAACCTGTTCCTCCAGCATGTGTGTTTCCCAGAAACTGGAGCTCAGATTTGACCAGGTTCTGATGACATTTGGTTTTGGTAACAACACTTCCCAGTACCGTCCATCAGGAAGCCACATGTGCTTGGCTGTCCCTCTGCGAGTGACACGAAGGGACCGGAGGGCTCTGTCGGTGGCAGCCTGACCTGCCGTCCCACACGGCCCCTCAGCTCCCAGCAGCCACTGCAGTCATTACCTAGCTTCACTGTTTCGTTACAGTTGTGATGTGCCCGATGCTGTCATTTCTTCTTTGTTTATTGACTGTGATTCTCCTAAAAAGAACTCATCTTCAGTAACTATATGGTTATTCTGAGGTATAATTTATACAAGGAAGGCAGGATAAATTCAATTTTTAGAATAGAGTTGGTACCCCAGCCACCTCTGGAGGTGACCAGAGGCAGAGAGGGAGAATCACTGCATTCCAGGCTCTGGAAATGCAGCAGAGAGGACAGTCAAGGCCTTGGCCCTCAGAGAGCTAATGAATAGAGCAGGAGACAGACAAGTAAGCAAAGAAGATGATTTCATACAGGAAAAGGAGGAGCCACTGAGCGGGGTGGGAAGATGAGCTCTGCAGTGACATTACTGAGGTTTGAATCCCAGCTCCTCCCCCTACTAGCTGTAACCCTTGGCAAGTAGCCTCACCTTGTTGTGCCTCCCTTTCTTCGTTTGTAAAGGGGATAATAGATCTTTCCCCAAAGGTGGTTGTAAGGTTGGAGAAAGTAAGCACATGGAATAGTACTTAGCACACAGGAAGGCCTCTGGAAACCAGCGGTGAGATGCTGGGTGCACGGAAATAAAGGACATGATCTGACACCGGACAAGAAGGTCAGGAAAGTGACAAGGAGCCAACAGAAGGGTCTTGTAGGGAGAAAGTTAGCCACCACAAAGGTGAGAACAAAGGCCCTCGGCTTGTTGACGAATCAGAAAGAGGGTGGTGTGGCTGGAGCAGAGGAAGGCCTGAGATGAGGAGACACCAGTGCTTATACACATGGACTCCCAGGGCGGGTGCAGTTCCCCGCCTTACAGATAAGAAAACCGAGCCCCAGAGCAGACCAGTCACTTGATGCAAACTTGTACAGCAAAACTCAGTCCAGGTTTCCCATCCCCATATGTTCTTCTGCCTCTAAAAGCTGTTGAAAGCTCTCCACATGCAAGTTCTGGTTGCTCCATCCCCACCTTCCTGAGTCCTGCTTGCTTTGAACTTGGTGGGGAGCAGTTTTGGGCAGGCCTAAAGCCTGCAACCAAGGGTTTTACCACCCACACCCACACCCCGGTCCCTTAGCCTGGGAGCTCCAGTCAGGCCCCAGGCATCCTCTTCTCCCAGCCCTCTTCTGGGGCCTCCTCCACCTCTGCACAGAGCCAAGGCCCAGCCACACCTGCTGCAGGCTCTGCAGGGGCAGAGCAAGCCGAGGTAACCCCAAAAGCAGGCTCCCAAAGACCCCCCCCTCCTCTGTACACATGCTCATCCCCACTTGTGTGCTCACAATAAGCCAGCTCACCTGTCGGATGACTCTCCAAAGCTCAGGGAGTGCAAGAGGCCATGAAGGCGTCCCTCACCTGCAGCAGGGCCCAGCTGAAGTCAAGGTAAAAGTCTGCAGGCTCCCTCCCCAGCTTTGGGGAGACAAGCCAGGGAGGGCGTGACCAGACAAACGAGTTCTGCTCCCTGGCCTATTTAGGGCAGAACTGTCATCCTGCTCCCTTCACAAGGTGGCTGTGAAACAAGATCTCCTATTCGCAGGGGCAGGTGTGGGTTGGGATTTACGTGGGTTTTGCTGTTCTTCAAATGCAGGGGTATCTGACTGGCCTCATTTGAAGAGCTGATAACCCATCTCTGGGGTCCCTTCAGCCTCTTGATGCAACCCTGGCCTCTTGGCTCGAATGTCATGATGAGCCCTGGGTGGAAACTCAGGGATGGGTCAGGTTCTACAGGGTGTGTGTCCAGACCCCATGCTTCTGAGGCACTGGTTAGAGTAAGTGGGTCATTCTCACACCCCTAGGCCACAAGCTGGGGTTCTTGAGCCGGGCTCTGCTGGGCCATAGCTGGGCTGGGCTGGGCTGGGCTGGGCCAGGTAGCCAGGAGGACATCCCAGAGCCTCTGATTAAATGTGTTATTTCAATCTGGGGTGCTTACACCGGCTCTGGAGGAATGTGCTCATCTCGTTGTCTCTGTTGCTTTGCTGCCTGTTGGGGAAGATGATCTGTGAGGCTTCTGTCCCCTTCAGTTGGACTCCAGACCTCAGGTGAGGCCAGGAGTTAGAGAGTCCTCCCTGAGAAGGGAAATTGAATCTGCACAAGCGGGTGAGTAGGAAAGGTAAGAAAGGAGTCCCCATGGCCCCACAAGGCCAAGGACGCAGTGAGGAAAAGTGGTCTGCAAGCCCAGGGACGTCCTCCCTCAGGTGACTCCCATGGGTGGCTGAGAGGTTGGAAAGGAATATTTAGTGCAGTGCTGTTGGTCAAGCGAGAGACTCAAAGCCAACTGAGTGTCCAGCCATAGGTGTCTGGCTGAGTAAACCCCAGGTCCTTCACGCAATGGAGTAGTAACTGATAGTGTAAAGTGAGGTGAATCTGTTCGTGCCAGGAGGGCCTGGTTGGAGATAGTGGTAATTGTAGGGAGCAGAGTGGTGCCTGGGGTTAAGTTTGCTGTTCTTTTTATTTTCATTTTAAACATTTGCCTGTCCACATAGGGTACTTTTGAAACATGTGGAAGATATTAGAAGCCAGCTGTTTCTGGTGGGTGAAGCTGGAGGATGGCACAGGGGGTAGGAAAGCCCTTTTATACCACTTTAATCTTTGAAAACTGTTCAAAACCTAAATCCAAAAAGTGGGCTTCTTGGTTTTTTTTTATCCCTAGCAGCTAGGTAAAATGCAGATTACTGGGCCCACCTCAAGGAAGACTCTGTTTCAGATGAGCTGGTATCGGGTATAGGAGCCTACATTCCTCTCCTATTCTCAGGGTGATTTAGGTGCTGCCAGTTCTCAGAGGGCTGGGGAGGCATCTGTGCAAGAGCCCCCGGGTGGGTGTGGTTTTGGGCTTCAGACAGTGGGAGACTTTGGATTCTGAGCACATGGGAAGAGCAGGGAGACTGTCCCCAGAATCTCCTGGAGAAGGCTAGTCAGTCAGAAACTGCCAGAAAGAAATGCCTGTTTATGAAGAACTTGGTGTGTACCAGATGTTCTACTAATGCTCATTGAATGCCCAGAACCACCCCATCTTCCAGACTAGGAAACTAAGCTTCTCAGATGGAAATCCCTCACTCAAGGCCACATAGGCCGTAAGCAGCAGAGCTGGGATCTGAGAGAGCCCGGGAGTTCTGTGTGCTGCCTTCAAGGTGATTGGATAAGGTTTCCCTCTTTGAGGTCATGCCTGGGGCTCCTGGCCAAAGCTGTTAGTAACGGGGGACATGGCGGTGGGGGGGCAGTCAGGGACCCTGAAACTCTCCTCTGGCTCCCAAAGCACTGCACCTTGGGCCAGTGTACATGGTGGTCAGCCCTGGGGGCTTTGGAGTCAACTGTCTCTATTTAAATCCAGTTTCCACCTCTTACTGCCTATGCGACTTTAGACAGTTTACTTAACTTCTCTGTGCCTCAGTGTACTTCTCTCTAAAGTGTGATGGACTGATTGCGACTGTGGTTACCAGCAACAGAGCTAACTCAAACATGATAAAGCAAAAAAGGGACTGTACTGGCTTATGTGCTTAACAAGACTGGGAGGTAGGGCGAGACTTAGGCATGGCCCTCGGCAAGCACTCGGACACCCTCATCAGGAATCTCTGCCACCTGTCACCCTTTCTGCATTGCTGTCATTCTCAAGTCATCTTCTACGTTGTGGAGACAAGGATGGTTCCCTCCTCACAGCTCCAGCTTTTGGTCTCCCCAGCTCAGCAGCTCCAGTGACCTTTCCTCCAGACAGTTCCAGAGTTGATGCTCACTCTGTCTGATTGGCCCCACGTTGGGGCACACGGCAGTCCTGTGCCAGTCGTGTCCAGGAGGAGACGAGTTGCTGAGTGGCCAGGCCCAGGTCACATGCTCATCTGTGGAGCCAAGCAGTGGGGTCAGCCCCACCCAGAACACACTCGGAAGCGGGGGTGTGGACGCTGGGCAGCAGGAGCAGCAGGTGTGCACCGCCCGGGGTGGCGATGCTGCCCTGCTCTACTTCCACCCAACCTGGCATTTATACACACTCTGTTAGACACTTTTGTTCTCGTCACGCCTCATCTCATGGCAGTCCAGCCAGAAGGAGCTGCTGAATGTCAGCGCTGACCTTTGTGCTGCCGAGGGCCACGGTGTGTCCAGCCCAGGTGCCAGAGCACACCCTCAGGTCACCTTTGTTGGCTCCTTAGCAGTCATGTCCTGGGCTCACAGCCCCCCAGCCACTAAGTTCACCAGATCTTTTGCCTGGTGGCCCTGAAAATTCCCTGGGCTCCAGGGGACTCAGGAGTCACCGCGGACTGGCTCAGTGGGGGCATGAGAGCCTCCAGGCCGAGTACTCTGAGCTCAGCTCCCACAGCTGCTGGGATTCTGTGAGCACGGCCCCCTCCTTGGGCTCAGAGCCCCCTGGCTGCCACACTGCAGGCTCAGGGGAGAATGCCAGCCCGGCCTGCCAACCTCCCCACCTGGAGCCAGGAACGCTGTGGTGCCTGTACCAGCCTGGTCGGAGGAGAGTCACAGGCCGTTCTGCATCTATTTCAAGGTTCTGCGTTTCATGGCTTTTTTTTTTTTAACCACCCTGCAAAGTAGGTCACCTGCTCCTCTTCCACCTGTCTTTGAGCTTCTTCAAAACAAGGCAGATACTATCCTTTGATCCTCAGGGCATCTGCCTTTCTGGCCCGAGCACTGCTAAGGGGGGCTGAGCCAGTCTGTGTAGGACACTGGCTGCCTTGAGGACTGGGTCAGGGAGAAGGAAGAGGAAGGGAAACGAACAGAGAGGGCGAAGAGGAGAGAGGAGATGAAGTCAAGTGGCCGTGCAGGCAGAACCGCGGTGTTGGGCCCTGTCCTGGTTGAGCACTCCGAGCTGCTGAGTTGCAGACCAATTTAAAGGGTATCTACTCAGCTTTTCAAATAGGCCAACACAGTTCAGATGGGGCCAGGGAAACCCGCCCACCGGGAGGAGGCAGCAGGCGTGTGTGCAGGTGGGCCAGGGTCTTTCTGAATAACGAAGTTTCTCTTCCTAGGGGATGGCCGGAGACCTATGACATGAATACCTCGGAGCCCAAGCCTGAACCGGACAGCATGCCCCCCGGAGGCCGGCCCCCCTACCGCAGCAATGCACCCTGGCAGTGGAGTGGGCCCGCCTCCCACAACTCTCTACCAGCCTCCAAGTGGGCCACTCCTGCTGCCCCTGGCCACGCCCAGTCACTGAGCCGGCCCCTGAAGCAGACCCCCATGGTTCCCTTTCGGGAGTCCCAGCCCCTGCACAGCAAGAGGTGAGTATTGGTGAGAGGCGTCACCCCAGCCCCCACTCCCTCCTGTGCTTTTCTCTCTCCTTCCCCTTTTTCCAGTCTCTTCTCAGTCTTGCTCCCTTCCTTCTTGTCCGATGCTTCTTTCCCTCCTTGTCCCCTCCCTCCCTCCCCTGCCAGTTTGATTCTGAGACTCCCATGTGAAGGCCTGACGCTGGCGCTCAGCGTCTGAGGGGGAAACCCACTGTACTGTATGTGGGTAACACTAGATATTTTTTAAAAGGTCAGGGGACTGGTAAGCACAAAAATAGGATGTGATGACTTCTTGGGAGGCAGGTAAGTGGGAAGTGAAGAAGCCCACAGATGTATAGGTATTGTATACCTTACAGATAAATTCTTTTGAATATATTATATATTAAGAGGTAAAGAAAAATTACCAAGAAATGAAGGAATCTGACCTTCAGAGGAGCATCTCACCCCAGGATTGGGTGGGAACAGCCGCCTGCTCTGGGCAGCCCCTGTCAGGGCCGCAGCAGCTGAGGGTCAGGGAGGCTGAAGTGGGGGAGGGAGAGGGGGAGGGGAGGGCAGGGGTCTCCCCAGCTTCCTGCTGCTCTTTGCTCAGCAGCCCTCTTTCCGTCCCCAGCGGAAGAGAGTAGATGAAAGGTCTGTCCCTCCTCTGTCCTCATTCACCCCACCTCCTTCCTCTCCCATCTCTGTTCCAGGCCCGTTAGCTTCCCAGAAACCCCTTACACAGCATCACCAGCAGGGGTCGACAAAGCCCCTCCCTACCGACAGCCTTCTGGGAGCTTCTCCACTCCTGGCTCAGCCACCTACGCAAGATACAAGCCGTCCCCAGAAAGGTCAGAATCTCGTCACTCATTTCAAATTAAGGTGAAAGCTGGGGATCCGTCTTTCCTAGGAAATGCAGATACCCTGTAGGTTTATTGCTGTTTTATGGGGTTTCTGACTCCCTGCAGGTCATCAGAGGACCTCCAGGAGGACTGGCTGTGTCTCTTTAAGACCTGGGGCCAAGCCAGCCTGAGCAGGACTTGCGCTGGCTGAGCTTGCAGCAGAGTTTTGGTTGCCACTCTCTTGACATCTGTATAACTTGTGTGAGCAAGACCCTCAGCCTCCCAGCATGGCCCTCTGTCTGCCTCTCCGGGCTGCTCCCCAGGACCAGGCCTCCTTCATTACCCACTTTGTTTCTTTTTTGAAATATTTTATTTATTTACTTTTAGAGAGAGGGGAAGGGAGGGGAAAAGAGAGGGAGAGAAACATCAATGTGCGAGAAATACATCGATCAATCGCCTCTCACATGCCCCCAAGGGGACCTGGCCCTCAACCCAGGTATATGCCCTGACTGGGAATCGAACCAGAGACTTTCTGGTTCACGGGCCACCACTCAATCCACTGAGGCACACCAGCCAGGGCCATTACCCAGTTTCCAGAGCCTCCAGGCTTCAGTCCTGCCCCCTTGGGTCCTTCCCCAATCTGGTAGCCTGTGGGATCTTCCTAACTCCTCCACGGCTCCCCAGTGCCCTCAGGGTAAACCCAGGCTCTCCTGCTTGTTCTCCATCTACCTTTGACCCCTGTGCCCTGTGCCCTTCCCCCTCCAGGGTCCCAGGGACCCCCCCACCTTTTCCTTGTCATTGAGCTGGATTCATGAGCCTCATCCTGGATGTCCCTTTGTCCTCTCCCTTACTGCAGTTCATCTGCTCAGCCTTCTGAGCATCTCTGCCCCCACTCCCTCCTCCAATGCCCACTGGCCCCCTGACCACCCCCCTGAGCCCCCAGCCTCTGTTCATCCTCCACTCGACTATGAGGGAGGATCTTTCTATACTTGCCCATATCTGTCCACTGCTCCCGTGTGTCTTAGAGCCCTCAGAACACAGCTGCACTGCCACACGGCATCCCCACTGGCTTCTTAAGCAGGCTGTCTGCACTTCCGGTCTCGTGTTCTGCCCTCCACCCGGAAGTGCTTCACACTCTCCCCTCGCACCCCTCCCTCTCCTGCCAGCCTGAGCACTGATGCTGCTGCTTCAGGAAGCCTTCCCTGAACCTCCCCCAGCCACAGGGGCTGCCACTCTGCCCCTGAGTTCCCTGTGCGTTTCCTGACTTCGAGCACTCTCCGTTCTTCTGGCCCAGGTGAGAGGGAGAGTGTGTGCTCCCCAGGATCTAAGACCTACCCCATTCATCTGTATGATTATCACACAGCACAGGTCTGGCACATGCTAGATTTTTGGTACATGTTTGATGAAAGGATGGAGTGAGTTAGTGAGTTTGTTTAAATGAGATCACCTACCAAGACCAAGGATCAGTCCACCTAGCCAGTGGGTCCCAATTTTTTATGTGTCTGAGAATCACCCAGAAGGAGTGCTTGTTAAAATACAAATTACTGGGCCCTTCCCCCAAGTTTCAGCTTGGTGGGTCTGGAGTAGAGCATGTGATACTAATACTGCTGATCCAGGGACATAGCGTGAGAGCCACTGAACTGAACCATTGTTTGATTATAACTATATACTATAAAATTGGGGAAAACATACCTTTTTCATCACGAATGCTGAAGCAAAGGGTCCCAGGAGCCTGCCATGTGCCAGGTGCGGGGAGAACTATTTGAGATACTCACTTACCACGGGCCCTTATTGTCAGTGCCACTGGCTATGATGGAGAGAGGGTCTTTGAAGCTATGTGCCCTCTGATGAATACTCTAATAGGCTCAGGGGAGGACAGTCCAGCCCCAGAGGCCTAGGCCAGCTGCCTAGAGGAAGTGACATTTGAATGGGGCTTTGAGAGCTTAGTGGGAGTTTGCCACACAAGGAGGGAGAAAGTCATTCCAGACAGGGCAAAGGCCACATACGTGAGTAAGCAGAATGGTACGGAATGCAGGAGGCATGGAAAGAAGTCATGTGGCGGGGGCTGTGGGAGGGGGGCACCTCAGTGGCAGCCATGGCTGCAGCGGGAAATGGCTCAGTTGGCATGGAGCAGTTAGTGAGGTCAGGGCTTCAGTTATGAGATTAATAGGCTCTGAGATGGACAGCATGGTGGCTACAGTCAATAGTTCTATACACAAAATCTGCTGAGTGAGTCGGTCTTGAGCATTCCCACCCCCAAGAAAGGTAACTGTGAAATGATAGATGTGTTAGTTCACTTGACTGTGGAAATCATTTCACATTGCATACGCATGTCAGCTCATCACATTGTGCACATGTTACAGCTTTGTCAGTCATCCCTCAAAGCTGGGGGGAGGTGTTGCCAAGAGTGCTCCTTGCTCAGCAGACTTCAAATAGTATTAATTCGTGAATGAGAGTGCTGACTATTCTATATTGCATGTAGGGGAAGTAGTTGGGGGGAAAATACAGTCACTTTACTGTGTGATAACTTCATTTATAGATTTTTTCCATTTTTAATTATTGATTTGAGAGAGAGAAAGGTAGGGGCAGAGAGAGAAAAAGATATCAATTTGTTGTTCTATTTGTTTATGCATTCGTTGGTTGCTTCTTGTATGTGCCCTGACCAGAGATCGAACCCTCAACCTTGGCATATTGGGACACACTCTAACCAACTGAGTTACCCAGCCAGAGCTCCATTTTTCGTGTTAAAAGGAACTGCTGGACTGTTTTCCAGAGTGGCTATGCTGTTTTAAATCCTCACTGGCAGTGTATGCATGATCCAGTTTCTCCACATACTCACCACCATGTGGTGTCATCTCTTTTTTATTTTAACTGTTCTGATAGGTTTGCAATGATATCTCATTGTGGTTTTAATTTGCATTTTCTCTAATGGCTAATGATGTATACAGTTTCATGTGTTTATTTGCCAACTGTATCTCTTCAGTGAAATGTCTTTTACCCATTTTCTAATTGGATTCGATGCTTTTTCAATGTGGAAGAATTTTTTTTTCAAGATTTTTTTATTTTTAGAGGGGAAGGGAGGGAGAAAAAGAGGAAGGGAAACATCAATGTGCAAGAGAAACATCAGCTGATTGCATCTTGCACACCCCCAACCAGGCACCTGGCCCACAACTCAGGCAAATGCCCTGACCTGGAATCAGTCTGGTAAGCTTTCAGTTTGCAGGACAGCGCCCAACCCACTGAGCAGCACCAGTTAGGGCAAATTCTTCGTATATTCTAGATACAAGTCCTTTGTCAGGGAGGTGATTTGCAAACATTTCCTCCCAGTCTAGTTTGTCTTTTCATCTTGGTAACAGGGTCTTTTGCAGAATTAAAGTTTTAATTATGATGAGGTCCAAACTATCATTTTTTTTCCTTTTATGGATTATACTTTTGATATAAAGTCAAGAATTCATTGCCTAAATTCATTGCCTAAATCCTGAAGATATTCTTATGTTTTTTTTCTAGAAGTTTTATATTTTACTTTTAAGTCCATGATCCATTTTGAGTTAATTTTTTCGTGAAGGAGTTCCTTTTTTTTGCCTACAGATGTACAGTTTCCTCCACCGTTTATTACAGAGGCTCCATCTCCTCCATTGCACCACTTTTGCTTCTCAAAGCAAAAATTCATTTGAAGGGGAAATTAATTGGGCACATTTGCATGTATCTATTTCTAGGTTCTCCAGTCTGTTCCACTGATCTATATGCATGATCTCAGTGAGTGTTCCCAGCAACTCCACAAGGTGGATACTTGAATTATCCCATTTTATAGGGGGAACCTGAGGTTTAATGAGATGAATGCACTTGGTCAAGGCCACTCTTGTAGGAAGTGGCAGTCAGGACAGGAACTCAGGCCCATGTGATTCCAGAGGGCTGGCCCTGACCCCAAGCTCTCTTTCCTGCTGAAGGACTCTGAGCTCATCCTCCAAGTTAGGATGACGTGTGTGTTCTTGCAGGGGTCCCCACCCCACCATGACACTGGTGGCTATGATTTCATGTGTTTTTGTGTGTTTTAGTCTCTCTGGCATTGACAACTAGGAGACTAATACTTTTCCCTTGGACTCCAGCTCTTCCCAGCCTACCCCTCTCTTCCTAGGGCTCCAGTGGAGCCTGCCTCTGCTCTCTCTGGCCCAGATCTCAGCACTTTTATCTCTATCAGAACAGCTGGGCTTCGAGTTTCGGCAAATGTTCCTAACACACATCATCCCCCAAACCCCAGAAGGGTCTTTCACAGGTACTCACCATTCTGCAGCAAGAGGTTGGAGCAAGTCACAGCTCCCTCAGTGGCCCTTGGTCTCAGCTCCTTTCCTCTTTTCCTGTTGTACAGTTGCCCCATGACATCCCGCAGCCCATGTGACTCAAGCCATGATGTTCCAGCCCAGCCCCAGACATTTCTCCCTCAGGACTCCTCTGTCACATGCTGCCTTCTCCAGCAGGTTGCTACTTGCTGAATTCATCAAGCTTTTAGGGAAGCAAAGGCCCTCAGGGACAGAACCTGTCTCATGGCCTACCTTAGATTTACCAGGAGACAGGATGGCAAGTTGGCCTGCCCCTCACCTGTCCTGTGAGTATGGGCGAGTGACTGTCTCTTGCTGCACCTCAGTTTGCACACATGTAAATGTCTGTCTCTGAGCAGTGTGGAGAATATGCAAGGAGGGACACCCTTTAGAGCACTTGGAACTGTGCCTGGCACGTAGTAAGTACTCCATGGGGATGATGGCTGTTACTGCTGAGTGTGGTGACTGTGCTGGCAGCTGCGGTGCAGAGGCTGGCAGATGCTGTCCCTGTCCTTGGGAGCTTGCCCTCCTGTGTGCAAGAATAACCCATCACCAAACTCAGTACAGAGCATTAAGGCTGGACTAGACCCTAGACTTCTGCTCATCACAACACCAGGTTGGCTTTGATTTCTTTTTTTCTTTTTTTTTTTTTTCGTGTTTTTTTCTTCCAGCTCCATAAAGAGTGGTGCATTGGGTAGGAGGCATTTGACTGCAAGTGACAGAAAGCCTAACTTGGGAAGGCAGGAAGCATTAAAGGGGTTTATCATCACATGATAAGTCCAGAGTTAGTGTAGCTCTGGGGCTGGAAGTTCTGTAGTGAAGTCCTCATGGTCATGCTCCACTCATACCCCTGATGGCTGCTGTGGCCCCACGCAAAACCAGTGCCCTGCAGAAGAGGAAAGAGTCTCTCTTTGTCTTCAAGAGTGTTGTTCCACCCCCCCGCCCCCAATCAACCCCTGGCAAGGTTGCATTGGACCTGCATAACTGTCTTACAGTGTCAGGATTTACTCAAGTCACGTGGCAGAAGGATGGCTACCAGAGCAGAATCTGGGCTCCACCAGCAAGGACAAGGATGATGTCGGGGTGGCAGCCAACAGTGGCTACACTGTCTGTCCACCCTCTCACCCAGTCATGCTGGAATTCACCCATCCACGGTCCCATCAGTTAGGGCAGGAGACGGACAGCAGGCAGCAGCCTTCCCCTAAGAAGAGGCCCTTCCTCACGTTCATGTCTGTCTCGTTATTTTCCTCCGTGGCCAAGTGGGAAACTCAGGGCCAACACTTCAGCAGCCAGACCCTGCTGATCTTAAGGCAACCCCCACTCGCCATCCCCAGGGTCAGTCAGCCTGTCTAGCTTGTGCCTGGGGACGCCTGGAACTACAGAAGTTAGTTCCCTACTAAAACTCCAAACCCTCTCTTTATCTTTGAAGTTATTTCCAATTCCAAGAAGTGATAAAAGTACATTACATGTTCTCAGATGAGACTAAAGATATATTTGATCTCTTGTTCTGAGGATTCTTGACCAGAGCTGTGCTTAGTGAGATGTGGAATGTCTGTTTCCAGTCAGCGTGACCCGCTGTGGTGGTAAGAGAAGGCCCCGAGTAAGACGTACTTGCACCCCAGAGAATGGTCAGCGTAGCTCAGTCACTGTGCATAGTGGGAATCGAACCTGCAACCCTTTGGTGTCCAGGGCAATGCTCCACCAGCTGAGCCACCCAGCCAGGGCCACTTGCAGCAGTTTTATCTCATTGGCCAGAACTGCAAAGGAGCCTGGGAAATGTAGTCTGTTAATTAATCACATTGCTGCCCCCAATACACTTGGGATTCTGTTACCAGGGCAGAAACAGAGAATAGATATTAGGAGAGCTGCCTGCGGTGTCTGCCACTCGTACCTCCACTCCCCTCTGGCTGACCCCAGCCCCTGCTTACATTTTCCTTTAGTGCCGAGGATCTGATACAGGCATTTTGAAAAAATGAACTAAACATGTCCGTACCTCAATTTCCAGCTATGGTGGAACCACGTTTTACCAGGCAGTTGACTGGCTGCTAAGGTCACCCAGTAAGGTGAAGATGGCTTTATTGTTTGGCTCTGTCTTCCTTTCCTGGGGGCATTAGGAATCAAGGTCTGGGAGGACAGGGGTAGTATGTACATTCTGAGCAGGTGAGGAGAGTTGAGCTTCGGGAAAATCCAGTGTACCTCTGAAGCACCCCTCTGCTGCCCTGGAGGTGTTGAGTCCTAGGGGGTTGGAGTTGGCCTTTGCAGAGGCAACCCTGGTTTTGTGGCCAGCAAGGCGACCCTGGAGAAGTTAACATCTTTTTGGGATGTTGGGGGTCCCAGTTTACCACCTCCCCAATCTGCGAGTAGAGACACAAACAGCCAAGTGGGGAATGTCAGTGTCAGCTTGATGAATGGAGGCTCAGTAACCCCGCAGAGTATAGGGCCTGTGTCAGTGAGGTGCTTCTGGCTGCAGGTGATCGAAATTTGGCTAGTTCAAACACTAGGAATTTGTCATCTCAGAGAACTGGAGGCTCACGGCAGGCTGCAGGGAGGATTAATGAAGCATTTTGACAACATCAAGGGTATAGTTCCTACCGCCTTCTCTCTTCCACCCTCAGCATTGTCCTCATCCATCCTCAAGCTGTAGCAAGTGAGTAGCAAAAGACTCGTGGTGTTATAACTGGACCCAGCAACACCTGGATGAAGAAAAGCCATCTTTCCTGATTATCTTTCTTAAAAGCAAGAGACTTCCCAGAAGCCCCCCAGCAGACTTCCCCATTTCAGTCAGGTGGTTCTGGGTAACAAACATTTGAAAATCTCAGTGAGTTATGTCAGTAAAGGTTTATTTTGTTACCCACACTGTAGCTCCACTGTCAGTTGGCAGGAGACTTCTCAGGACACAGGCTGCCCGAACAGCCACCACATCCAAGTCACTCCCCACACGACTCATTGACGAGAACTAGTCACACGGCCCCAGCCGGCCGGTATTGCAGGGCAGGAAGGACAGTCCTGCCACCTGCTTGCCTGGTGGAGAGCCAGAAGTCTTGGGTTGGCCAGAAAGTTCATGTGGCTTGTTCTCATAAAATAAAAGACACTTTTCATTTTTACCAGTAACTCGATGTGGATATTTTGATCATGTCGGCTCTCTCCCACGTGGTGTAATGTTGGTCGTTCTCAGTTAATGTCTCGATTTGATTTGTCAACTTCAACTGGCCCACCCGACCGTGGTGCATCCTCCAGCAAGAAATGTCCAGCACAAAACTTCTCAAAGCACTTTCAGCACGTTTGATCAGTCACAGCACCTTCTCAATATGCTGCACAAATTTTTTTTGCGTTTCAGTTGTGTTTTTACCTTTCTTGAAATAATAAAGCATTATATCCTGAGAATGTCACTTATTTTCTTCCATCTTCAATATGAAATGGCTACACAAAGATTCACTAATTTTGATAAGGTTTTTTTAAATGCACGTTGATATGACAGTTGTCACAATACAATCTGATAGAATTGTTTCAAATGAAGTTAAAGACAGCTAAGCACTGTCTTTAGAGCCATCATATGGAAAAAAACAAATGAACTTTTGGCCAACCCAGTAATCTGTGGGAGTCTTTTTTTTTTTTAATCATTGTTCAAGTATAGTTTTCTCCCTTTTACTCTCAATCCAGCCCACCCTCCCAACCCTCCCCACTTCCCTCCCATTACCACCCTCCCCCTAGTTTTTGTCCATGTGTCCTTTAAATTTGTTGCTGTTGTGGGAGTCTTAATAACTCATACCCTCTCACACCGCAGTGGCCAAAATTGTGTCACATGCCTGTCCCTGAACCAAGCCCAGGCAAGGAGCAGGGTTTCTGCCATGACTGGCTCTGATCAAGCTGGAATGGATGTTGGGAAGTGCCCACAGAATTCACTGCAGGGCATACAGAATGCCCCTGGGGTGTGAGGCCGCAGGGAGAGCCTTCTGCCACTTCTTTTCAATCTCAGCCCCTGCCTGCGGGTGTGCAGAGCCAGCCTCCGGGAGAATCTCTGTCTAGAAGATACCTCTGTTTCACCCGCTCCACAGCTTTGGGAGGTAGAAAGTGCTGTTGGTCCTTTTTCAAACAGGAAAACTAAAGCTGAAACTGATGAGCACTTGCCCATCAGTCATGCTGCCAGTCATGCTGCCAGTAAGGGATAGAACCAGGGTTTGAGCCCAGATCTCCTCATTCTAAAGCCTAAGCCCACGGCCTCTCCCTACAGCACCTTCCCACCACAGGCATGCACAGAGCTACACAGAGCTCCGAAGGCCCGTTGTCTCAGCTCACCCTGTGTCACATGTCAGCCTCAGGCTAAGTGCTGGCATGAAGCACTTGTCGATCAGTCCTACACGGAAGGGCCTACTGGGATAGCCTGTGGACAACTCGGGAAACTGAGGCCACAAGCTAAAAAGTGACTGCCTGGCTGGGCAAGAGGCAGTGGTGAAGTTCAAACCCCCACCCCCCAGCCCCAAGCCTCCTGTACGTACACATGGCCTTACCCTGGTCTTCACCAGGGAGAAAGGGAGCCCAAGACAGGCCTAGGAGGGGGCACTGCTGACAACAGCTCACCCCATTTTACAGCCGAGAGACAGGACCCTTGAAGAGCCTCTGGGTAGGGCCGTTGGCCTAAGTGGCTTCTGCCCTTCCTCCTTTGAGGACCCCTCCTTGCCCTGCATGCCCTACCACCAGCAACTCCCGGGCCTGCTTCCCAGGTGGGACTCATTTCTGCCCCTCAGGTTATAGCACGTTTCCGAGCTCACTCATCTAGCCTCCTCTCTACTCAGAGCCTCTCCTGTATTTAAAACCCACTGGAGAGCAAGTCTCAGGCTCAAGTGGTTTTTGACGCACTAGCCCAGGGGTGTCAAACTCATTTTCACCGGGGGCCACATCAGCCTCGTGGTTGCTTTCAAAGGACCAAATGTGATTTTAGGACTGTATGGATGTAACAACTACTCCTTAACCAGGGGCAAGGAGCTCAGCGCTGCCGCCAGGTGGAGCAAGGTGGAGGGCCGGATTCAGCCCGCAGGCCGTGTGTTTGCCACCCATGCACCAGCCCTTCACCCTGTGCTTGTTCCCCTCCCCCCTGCAGGTATGCGGCTGCCCCACACCCACTGCTGTCTTTCGATCCCCACTTCGGCCATGATGGGACGTCCAGCGGGGACTCCTCCTCAGGTGGCCTGACCAGCCAGGAGAGCACGATGGAACGCCAGAAGCCAGGTAGGGTTTCCCCAAGCCAGCTGTGCCCGCCTATGTCACCCTGCAGGACCACTACTTACAGTGTGACAGGTGACACCCCTCCTCCTGGCAGATGGATAAAACACACAGGAAAGCTGTAGGGGCCACACACAAGATTAGACAGGTCACCCAGGAGAGGAGCGGGACCAGGGAGCAGTCCTCCTCCCTCCAGATGGGCACCAGCAGATGGTGTCTGCCCACACTGTTGGTCAAGACTCGGGGCACTGATGTGCCAGAGGAAAGAGTTGAAAAGGACGAGAAGTTGTGCTCTCAGGGAGCAGACCCCACCGGGTTCTGAGGCTTTTCATTGCACAGGCCCCTCCTGCGTTCTACAGGGTCCGGCAGAAGTAAGGCCTGCGTGAGGGTGGTTGGTGGGATAATAATATGGTTCTAATAATTTATAGTTTCGATTTGAACATTTCACCTAAAATGTCATATGGTGTGCATGAGTGTGATATTGTTGTTACAGAATCACATCCTTATGATTTTGTAATAAAAAAGGGGTGTTATTTGTGCCAGACCCTATATTTTCTATTACGCAAGCACAATACATACCAAGAAAAGAGCCCAAATTGTGAGTGTCCACTGTGCTAACGTGTCACAGAGTGACCGTGCCGTGGGCCACACCTGCAGCAGGAACACAGTCCGCCTCCGAAAGCCCCTGTGCCCCTCCCCGGTCAGCGCCCACACAGGCCACCCCATCCAGCTTCTCACAGCCAGGCTTCATCTTGCACGGTTTTGGATTTCATGTACATAGAATATAGACTCACACTAGAAGCACTGTGTGTGTATGCGCACGTGTGTGTGTGTCTGGTTTCTGTTACTCTATACAGTGTTAGTGAGCGGTGGCCTTGTGATTGAATGTAGTGACAGTCTCTGAGTAGTGTGTATCCATTGTCTGAGTGACCTACAACTGATTACTCCATTCTGGTGTTGGTGGACATTTGGGTGGTTTCCGGTTTGGGGGTGCTTAGAATAGTGCTGCCAGGGATGGGCCCTGTGTCTGTCTCTTGATGAGCACAGACTCACATGTTTGTAGGGTGTACACCTGGGAGGGAGTGGAATTGCTGGGTCACATGTGTAACTTGATAAGAGACTGCCAGACCTTTTCCCAAAGTGACGAACCATATCACACACCCACCAGTGACATCTCAGAGTCCTACTTACTCATGTGCTCACCAGCCTTCTCTTCTTTTTTATAGAGGAGACTGTTTTTTTTTCTAATTGATTTTTAGAGAGGGGAAGGGAGAGAGAAACATCAATTTATTGTTCCACTTACTTATTAATTCATTGGTTGATTCTTCTATGTGCCCTGACCGGGGATCAAACCTGCAGCCTTGCTGTATCGGGAGGACACTCTGACCTGAGCAGCCCATCCAGGACCTCACCAACCTTTCCATTTCAGCCATGTAGTGGTCGCACATTGTGTTTTAGTTTGTGTTTTTCTGGTACCTAGTGAGACTGTGTTCTCACCTGTTTATTCTTCTATATATAATGATTATCATGGGTGCATATACTTAGATGAATATTTTAAACATAATTTTGTGTTCTAACCAACTATAGCCCCTTTGAAGTCTGGGAACCATCAGATGAATGGATAGATTCTAACAAAAGAAAAATAGTGAAGTTGTCAGACATTGGAGGGGGAAGAGGTGGAGATGGCCTCCCAGGGCACAGGTGGCAAACACAAGGCTCGCAGGCTGAATCCGGCCCTCCACCTTGTTTTGTTCAGCCCAGCACCTTGTTTCTACCCGGCAGCAACACCGAGCTCCTTGCCCCTAGTTAAGGAGCACTTACATTTATACAGTCCTGAAATTACATTTGACCCTCTGAAGGCAACCATGAGGCTGATGCGGTCCCTGGTGAAAATGAGTTTGACACCCCTGGCTTAGGGGGTGTTCCAGAATTCCCAGGCAGCTCAGGAGGCCCGTGTTGGCACGTCGGCAGCTCCCCAGGCCCTGTGGGATGGCGAAGGGGTTGCACAGCCCAGGACGAACGGGTAAGAGAAACCCTTGGCACCAGCCCCACGGTTCCCTTCAACCCGGGGAAGCAGACAGACTTCAGGTGGCCCTGCAGGGCCTGCAGACGTGCTTGCCTTCCTGTCCCTGCCTGCAGGTCTGTGGTTTTTACTTCAAGACAGACAAATTTGCATTTTTTTTCCACTCCCATCCAGTTCAAAAAAAGTGTTGCTTGTGATTTCACTACACTGAAGTGTAAAATGGAGAGGAAATTTTGTCAGCCTTCACCACGGGCCCCAAATAGGGTGTCACAGAAACTCATCACTGTCCTTACCATCCCTCTCCTCTCTTGTGTCTCCTAGAGTTTGGTTCCCCTCTCGCTGCCGTGGGACCTTGTTATAAATTGACTGACACCTCCACCCCCTCCCCACCCCCCACCCAAATCATGAAGTGTAAGGGTGTATTCAGGATCAAGAAGGAAGGTGGTTCAGGCCAGGGGGCATCAGGCACCGTGACCGACATGGGGATTTGCCCAGCCCTGACCAGATGATGAGGATCGCAGTAACAGCAGCGTGGTTCTGTGTGCATGTCGTATGCCCAGCAGTGTACCGGGTGCTCCCCATTCCCTCCCATTTAATCACCTCAGGAACACAGCAGAAGGGGTGCTTTTTATGCACCAGTAGAAATGAGGAAGATGAGGCACAGAAAGGTGGTCACTTGTTGGCATCATTGAGATTTGAACCAAGGCCTGTTGGGGTCTAGAACCCCTCCTGTCCGTAGATACCAACCATAATTCCTCACCTGCAGAGTGTGATCATTTCTCACGCCTCGGAGCTACCCAGCTGGGAAGGTGTCCCCAAGATCACCAACTGCCCCGAGTCCATCCATGCCTGGCCGTGATTTCAGCATGTGAAGGGTGAAGCAGGAGAGTCAGAAGGTCACTGGAGGCCAGTTCTGAGGTCCAGTGAAGGGCCCAGGGTCAGGGTCAGCCAAGGGGAGAGCCAGTGACACTAGGGCAGCTGGAGAGGGGAAGGAACCTGGCCGTTCACTACCAGTACACCGGGCTGAGCACCAGGAACACGGTGTGAGCCAAACCGATACGTCCTCTGCCTACTTGGAGCTACGAGTCTGGTGGGAGAGACAGACAGTGGGCAGGGCACACACAGTACCTACCCATGGCACTGAGTATCAGGTGGGAGCTAACAGTACTGGGAGACAGATTGATGGCATCTGAGAGAATCTCTGAGCAAATCCTATTTCAGGCGAGGCTGAAACAGTACAAAGGAGCAAGCTGGGAGAACATTCCAGAGGAGACAACAGCTAGTCGGCAACCCTGAGCGGGCAGTGAGGCCGGTGTTGGAGGAACAGTGGAAGGCCCGTGTGGCTGGAGAACTGAAGGGAGGTGACAGGGACAGGATGTGTGGTACAGAGATGTGATGGGACCTGACTCAGGTGGTCACAGGGTGTTTCGTGCTACAGATTCTTGCCAGGTCAGGACATTGGAGAGGGACAGATGGGTAGGTTCTGGATATGGTCCTTTGAAGGTAAAGTTGACAGAATTTCCTGATGCCTTGATGTGGGTAAGAGAGAAAGGAGAGGAGTCAAAGGTGATACCAGGCTTTTGGCCTGAGGGGCTGAGAGGATGGACCAGCCGTTGACTGACCAGGAAAGACTGAGAGATGCCGGTCTGAGGGAGACGAAGAGTTGGCTTTGGCCATGGTCAGTGGAAGTGCCCAGCAGAAGCCCGGTGGAGGTGTTGTGAGGCAGCTGTATACACGGTCTGAAGTCAGGGGAGAGGCCCAGGCAGAGACAGAAACGTGTGTTGTCTGTCTCACGGGTGGTAGTTAAGGCTCGCTGTGACAGCCATGGGCTTGGCTGTCTGTAGAAATGCAGTTTCCTGGCATGGGCTGGCTGCCTCCCAGGAGACCAGCACCTCCTGGTGGGGGGGGGCGGTGCTCTGGAGAGGAGACTCCTCTCCAGAGGTAGAGCAGGTGGCCAGCCTCCCTGCTCTCCGGTATCCATGGTTCCCAAGTGAAAGCTACATGGGCAGTGACACCTCGACTGTGCCAGCCGGGCTGCTCGCTGCAGTGACCTGAGTGCTCTTGCTGCTCCGACAGGCCCACCCTCCCCGGAGCATTTCCAAGATTGATAGATATTAACTAGCCCTCCATTGGGTTTTTTGTGGTTTGGTTTAGTGTGGTTTGTTTTAAGTCAGATGCTGAGTTCAGGATAATTGCCTTTGGGAGTTGAGACTAATGTCCTCACACCCACACCAGCCATCGCAATTTTAAACCTGTTTCACATTTGAACCAGCAATTCCACTTGTAGAATTTCACTTCCGTCCCAGACACAGTCCCACCCTTGCTCAAAGCTGTGTGTGGAGGGAAACCTACCAAAACATTTTTGTAAAGAAAAACTGAAAATAACGGAAACCTCCATCAGTAGGAAACTGGTTAAATAGTTGACATCCGTTCACAAGGTGGAATACTCTGCAGCTGTTAAGAATAAGATAGCTTCATGTTCAGCCATATGAGGGTGTATCGTGAAGACATAAAACAAAAGCAAGTGTAAGTATATTGTAAAGTGAAAATCAGTTTGTGGGACAGTGTTTATTATCTCATTTCCATTTAACAAAAAAATTGAGCTCATTTAACCAACAAAGGATCACTACCTTGCATATAAAGAACCCTATACACCAATAAAATAAAAGATAATCAATCCTGTGCAAAACTAGGTAAAGGACACGAACAGGTTATTTACAAAATAAATACAAATGGTCAGTAAGGATGGAAACGTGTTCAGCCTCCTTCAGGGATAAAGTTGGAGGATTGTTGTGAAGCTTCGATGAGTTTACTCATGTAAAGCACTAGGCTGAGGCCTGGCACAGCCTAAGCACTCAGTAAATACTCCGTTACTGAGCGTTGTTATACCCCCACGATGGAAGTTGATGGGGTCAGGGCATTTGCGAGATAAGCAGACAAGCTGGCAGAGAGGCAGTGGCTCCATCACACACCATCCTTAGGGCCCCAGTCTTTAGGCAGACTCGGGCCAGGGTCACCTCTAACCACCGATGTGTCTCCTGTCTCCCTACAGAACCTCTGTGGCATGTGCCCGCCCAGGCGCGGCTCTCAGCCCTGGCTGGAAGCAGCGGGAGCAAACACACCTCCAGGCAGGACGCAGCAGGCAAAGATTCCCCCAACAGGCATTCCAAAGTGAGTCTGGGCCCCGCCTGCCCCACCCCGGGGATCCAGGCTGTAGGAATTGGCTGTTCGGTTTGCCATGACTGCTGTGGGCCGGGCAGCTTCACCTGCCTGGGGTGGGTGTGGGCTTGGGCCCCTGAACTCCTCACGTGAGCACACTCCTCACTTGCGCCACCTTCCTCTCGGGCTGCGTGCTGGAGTCAGAGCCAGCCAGGCGCACGTCCTGGCTCGGCCCTCGGCAGCCGTGTCACCGCCTCCCTCCTCCGGCCACGCGTTCCTCGTCACGTCAGTCGTGGTAGGTGTCTTCACTGGCTCGGGCTTTGTAACAAAAATGCCACGTAGTGGGTTAACTTAATGAACAGAAATGTACTTCTTACAGTTCCGGAGGCTGGGCAGTCCAAGCTTCAGTGTCCGGTGAGGGCCCCTTCTCTGGTTCATAGACAGGCTTCTCACCTCATGTGCTGGAAAGGGCAAGGGTGCTCTCTGGGGTCCTTTTTAAGGGCGTGAATATACATATGGATTTTATAACCCCATTCATGCGAACTATATAAATATACATGTAGGAATAAGTAGGAGAAAATATATAAGGATTTAAAAATCCCATTTATGAGGGTTCCACCCTCAAGACCTAAGCTGCCTCCTGACCCCACTTCACTGGGAATTAGGATCCAGCACAGGAATCTGGGGACACAGACATTCAGTCTCTGGCACTGGGTTAACAGCTATAACGGGCAGTCCCCGAATCTCGGTGACCTTGCATAATACAGTTCAGTTCCAGTGTTCAGGGAGCAGCTCTGCACGAGGTGATTCAGGGTCCCAGAGCCCCGCCCTCCTGTAGCTCTGTGGTCACTCAGGGCCTTGGAGCGCCCCCTGCTGGGTCCCTGCCTCTTCCCAACAGATGGGGGCGGGAGGAAGAGAGATTCCTGTGGGAAGTGTCTGTAGCCGGGGCCTGGAAATGGCATAAATCACGTTCACGTGCCACACTGACCAGCACTTCATCTATGATCACACCTCCCTGCAAGGTGGGCTGGAAAATGCAGTCCTGTGTGCCCAGGAGGAGGAGATAGTTTTGGTGAGCACTTGGCAGTCTGTTCGCATCCACTCATGCCGTGAGTGTTTGATGAGCACGTGCAGCGTGCCAGGCGTTGGGGCCAGGGTGCTGAAGAGAACAGAAGGGCCCCTGTGCCCACAAAGCTGACATGCCAGTAGGACAACAAGCAGTAAGCAGACACACCAGTACATCGTGTAACACCAAGAGCTGGACCTTGCTGGGAAAGGAAGACAAAGCACAGTTACAGGAAAAGAGAGTGTCGAGCACAGGTGCTTCGGGTGAAGTGGTTAGACAAAGCCATTGAGGAGGTGACCTGTAAGCCCAAACCCGACTGACGTAAGGAGTGAGCCATGAAAACATGGGGGGGGGGGGTGGAGCATTGCAGGCAGAAGGAACTGCAGGTGCTAAGGCCATGGAGTGGGGGGGTGCCTGGCTTGCTCAAAGAGCAGCAAGGAGGCCCCTATAGCTGGAGCAGAGTGAGCAAGAGGTGGGGAGAGACAAAGTTGGAGACCAGAACATGGGTCCAGACCGCTCAGGGGCCTTGGTGAGGGCTCTCGCTTTTCCCGAGTGTGGTTGAGCCACAGGAGTGTCCTAAACAAGGAAGGGACATGCGTTAACACAGGTGCTCACAGCCTCCCTCCGGCAGCATACAGGGGACAAACGGGTGGATTGCAGGGGAGATGGGGACAGGAGCAAGGAGACCAGAGAGGAGGCTGCTGCCATGGTCCAGGCAGAGGCAGTGGATGGAGCCACAGAAGGAGAAGTGGTGGGTTCTGATCTGTTTTTAAGGTGGTGGCAACAGGATTTACTGTTGGACTGGACATGGTGTGAGAGCAAAATCGGGGTCCAGGGTGACTCCAGGACTCTTGGATGGGGCACCTGAAAGGACGAGATGCTGTCATTGAGACGGGGAGAGGCAGATTCGGAAGGGAAGGCCCGGAGCTGAGTTGTACACTTGGTCTCAAACTGTGAGCTCATGTTGCATACCTAATGTCCTCCCTCCGAGCTACCCCGAGAGGTGGTTATTGTCAGCCCCATTTTACAGACACAGAAACAGGCACTTGCCCGAGGTCACATGGCCAGGAAGAGCGGGAAACAGTTGGAAGCTGTCTTGGCTCCAGGGGTCACACTCATTGAGGACCCAAGAATGGAATGTCTGCCCCACCCTGGAGCCCAGGGATGACACACTTCTCTTGCCTTCCAGGGAGAGCCTCAGTACTCCAGCCACTCCAGCAGCAATACCCTGTCCAGCAACGCGTCCAGCAGTCACAGTGACGATCGCTGGTTTGACCCCCTGGACCCTCTGGAGCCAGAGCAAGACCCCCTTTCCAAGGGCGGCTCCAGCGACAGTGGCATTGACACCACCCTCTATACCTCTAGTCCCAGCTGCATGCCACTGGCCAAGGCGCCTCGGCCGGCCAAGCCACACAAGCCCCCAGGAAGTATTGGCCTCTGTGGAGGTGGGCGCGAGGCCACCGGGCGGTCCCACCACGCAGACAGGCGGCGGGAGGTCTCTCCCGCCCCTGCAGTCGGGGGCCAGAGCAAGAGCTACCGACCGAAGCTGTACAGCACGGGCTCCAGCACCCCCACAGGCCTGGCGGGGGGCAGTCGCGACCCACCGAGGCAAACCAGGTAAGGCGTGCTCCTTGCCTCAGCTCTTCAGGGGGTCCTGATCCTTTTCCGCTTCCCACACAGTCTGGGCGGCAGGGTCCCCAGAAACATGCTCACAGATGTTTGCTTACAAAGCTCAGAGACTCATGGAGCGCTGGTGCTGCCCATCCGTCAGTCCTGAAGGACCCAGGAGAGGGAGAGTAAACCCTGGCTACCTGTCTTCCTCTGTCCCTGACACCCTCTGTCTCTTTCCTCTGCCTCTGCTGAGACCCATGGTTTCTATGCTTTCTGGGGTCACAGACCATATCTGTCAGGAGTGTGTTTAGCTAGCGGTAACAGGAAACCTGACCTACAGTGGCTTAAACAAACAGAGGTTTGACAGTCAGGGGAAGTCCAGAGAGGACGGAGCCAGGCTGGTGCTGCAGCTCCGGGAGGGGCCTCGAGGCCTCGCATTCTATGTGTTCCTGCTCCACCACCCTCAGCACACAGGCTTCGACTTCCTGGTGGCAGTGGTGCCCTTAGGGAATGTGGGGGTAAAGAGCGGAGGAAAGACTGCAGCAGCTGTGTCGCCCCTTTTGTATGCAGAAAGCAAAAGCTTTCCCAGAATCCCCTTAAGCTAGCAGTGTCCCAGGACCACCCCAGCTACAAGGAAGTCTGAGAGGTCACAGGGTAGGCTTCCAGACAACACAGCGAAGGGCCATGGTCCCCAGACAGTCCCCTGGAGAGCCGTTCAGCACAGAAGCTGGGTCCCACTCAGAGTTACTGATTCAGTGGGTCGGAGTGGGGCCTAAAAATAAAATAGTTTTTAAAAGTTCCCAGTTGATACTCATGCTGCAGGTCCTGGGACCACACTTTGGAACCACTGGTAGAGAGGCCGCCTGGGGAATGAGAAAGAACAGAACTGGCAAACTGACAACCTGGAGTCTGAACCACACACTGAGAATCTGATGACAGCCATGAACCACCTCCCAGAAAAATGCACGGAGGTGGGGATTCCTTCGGCAATCCCAGGGCTCAGCCTGGCCCACGGGCCCCTTCAGGGGCTTATGGCCTCAGGCAAGGATTACTGAGCCCCTGTTCGCAGGGCGGATGGACCCCAGGGTGGATGGTCCCGGGGCAGATCCGTAAGGCCACAGCCTCCCTTCCCTTCCCTGACCATCCCTGAGCGGGGCCAGCTCAGGTCCCAGACCCCTGCCAGGGGTCCTGCCCTCCACTGGCACTTGGCTGCCTTGGCCAGGCCTCGAACCTGCAGCCTGTCCACACAGGACACGTGCACCCGGCAGTGGCCTCGGGCCTCCTTGACACGACCCGCAGTGGCTTTATATGTATGTCTGTGTTTTTTAAAAAAAGGTGAAGCAAAAATTTCCCAGACAGTACTTAGCCTGAGTGTGAAACACTTAGATCTAGTCTCGTCTGTTTAAAATTTTGGAATGCTGCTCCCTGCCTCCGGAGATGGTGTCATGACTCAGCGGAGCTCCTGTGGTGGACTTGGATTTCTCGGTGCCCGTATGTTGGCGCTTCCCCTCCCCGGGGTCAGGGATCCCCAGTCAGGGGACCAGGAGCAGGGTGAAGGTCCAGGGAGAGAGTGTGCCTGTGAGCTCAGTCTGCATCTCAGCCCGCCTCTCTAGGCGGGTAGTTCTCAATCATTGGAACTGACTCTTTCGACAGTGCCTTCATCCATTTATTTATCCACTCACTTCACTGACAAATATTTCTTAGGGATTTGTTATGTCGCAGACACTATCCTGGTTGCTGAGGCAAAATAATGAGCAAATTCAGATGAATCCCAGCCCTTACCTCAGCCCACCACCAGTAGAGACAGATGGGAATCAGGTCATCAGTGAGACAGATGGTCAGAGCGCCCCACTGAGAGGGGCTCACTGTCATGGGGGTCCCATGTCTCTGCTGTGACGGCCCCTGTGCTGGGCACAGGTCTATGTTAGTGACCCGAGCAACTGTCGTGAAGTCTGTGACATAAAGGTGGCAGCACCAGGGTGTAAACTGTGGCCGAGGCAAGAGGGGGTATGAAATTACCCTGTGTCTCAGAGAAGGATTTGCTGAACCCAGAGATGAAGACAATAAAATGGGAGAGGAGCCCGCCACAGAAAAGGGCCCTTGGGTTGGGAGCTTTAATTTGCATACAGACAATTGATGCTAATTGCAAATCATTCTTATCTACTCATTAAAGCTGCTTCCCGAAGTTTTCTCCTAGGCAACCAGGCTCTAGTGTGGAACAGCATTCCCAAAATGGGGTACTCGAAGTGATTTGGGTGGTACGGGAGGAAAATGTTGTACTTTAAATGGATGTGTTTGCTTTAATGAGTATTAAGAAAAGTGTTACTGCTCATCCCCTAATTTTACAGATATTGCCTTGGACAAGTTCAGGAAATTAAGTGTATTGATTTAAAGAAGCATCTTCGTGGTAGATGAGAGCGTGGACTCCAGAATCAGCACACCATGGTTCAGACCCTCCCTCTGCCTTGTCTTGGCTGTGTGATCTTGGGCAAATAACTCAACCTCTCTGAGCCTTGGTTTCCTCATCTGTGAAATGGAGGATAAATCACATAACTACCTACCTCATAGGGATGTGGCGAGGATTCAATGAAGTAGAACCCTTACAGTAGTACCTGGCAGTGGATCTCAGGTCAAGTTCAGCTATTGTTAGAATCATGGGGGATGTTATGAAAAGATGAGGTCAACCTCAACTAACTAAATCAGAGTGTCGCTCCTGGGCCAAGCCTTTTACAGGCGATGAGGGAACACTGTGGTGACCAAGGCAGACTCGGGCTTGCCTCCTCAGGACCCAGAGCCCAGTGGTGCCCGGCCGGGCGGCTTGGCTGGAGCATCATCCCACACACTGAAAGGCTGGGGTTCCGTGACCTAGGTTGCGTGTTTGATCCAAGGTCCAGGTGCATCCGATTGGAAGCCTACAAGAGGCAACCAATCGATGTTTCTGTCTCTCCCTTCCTCTCTCTCTAAAAGCAATGACAAAACGTCCTTGGGTGAGGATTTGAAAAAAAAACAAACAAAAAGAAAACCTAGTGGGGTAGGCAGACCAGCCCCAGACAGCACTGGCTGGAGTGAGGAAAGCACCTGAGATGAGGGAGCCTGGAGGAGGGGCCCCGACCCCGGCGGGGGAGGGGTTTTCCTGGATAGAAGAGGCTGCACTAACCACAGACCCAGGAGGGCAGAGTGTTCTAGACAGAGGATGTGCAGGGCCCGCTGTCAGCCCCACTCGCCCCCTACTTCCCAGGGCCTCTCACAGTCTTCCCATCTCGACAGGCACAGGTTCCCAGACGGGCGCCGAACACCTGTGCCCAGGGCTCCCACACGTGCCCCCGCCTGCTGCACCCACACTGCCTCCTGCATCTGCTGTCCTCAGTCAGCCCGCCCCCTCGGGCCGAGCTGGAGCGGCAGCCCGCTGCTCCTGGAGGGCAGGCACCAGTGCTTCGTGGCTGCCTTTGTTTCTGCTCCCACAGCACTTGATCGGGTGGCACCTTGTGTTTATTTGCACAGTGAGCACCTACTGGGTGCCTGGCCCTCTGCTGGGCACTGCCGGCGGCCAGGGCGCAGGCTATCCTGGCACTGACAGTGCACCACAGAAGCCAACAAGCAAGCACTTAAAAAAGTAATAAGTAACTGGAATCCGAGAGTGAATACGGTCCGGGCTGGAGGGCGGTCTAATCTAGTCTGGGGACAGTTTCTCTGAATAGGGGGCCTTTCTGCCAAGGATGAGAGGAATGAGAAGAGAGCAGGTGAAGTGGTGGGGGAGGGGGGCTAGTAATACATACTCTTGACCTGTGATGCAATTATGTGGGTATTTCCTTTGTAACTGTTTGTTGAATGGTACATCTTTGTTTTGTACATTTTGCTTTATATGGACAGTTTTTTTTTTAGATTTTATGTATTTATTTATTTATTTACTTATTTTTGGAGAGGGGAAGGGAGGGAGAAAGAGAGGGAAAAACATTGATGTGAGAGAGAAACATTGATCAGTTGCCTCTCTCATGGTCCCAACTGGGGACCTGGCCCTCAACCCAGGCATGTGCCCTGACCGGAAATCTTAACTGGCAACCTTTCAGTTTGCAGACGCGTGCTCAATCCACTGAGCCACAGCAGCCAGGGCCAATTTTTTTTAAGAGAGAAAAGAAAGACAGGGTGTGGGCAGGGCATCCCTCTGCAAGTAGTGTATGCAAAGGTCCTGAGGGCCAGGGTGGGTGCTGTCAAGTCACTGAGCACAGGCCCCGTAGCCCAAGTGTAAAAATTAAGGGTGCAGCTGAATTTGGGGGGTCAGCAGGGTGCAGACCACTCAAGGCCCTGTCAGCCACATTAGGGAGTTTGGATTTGATCCTAAGAGCTCCTGGCAGCAAGGCAAGTTTTCAGTAGAAAGGGTAGTGCAGACAGATTTATGTTTTGAAAGTGGTGCTAGGCTGGGGCTGAGGCCAGATGTGAGTGAGAAGGAAGGGGGCCTAGACCTGGAGACAGAGCGACCGTGGATGCCTCAGCAGGCGACAGCGCCAGGACATAAGGAGGGATAGACAGGTCCTGGATAGTGCCAGTAACCTGGGCAAGAGTCAGGGCCAACGGCTGAGTGTCAGGAGGCTGTTGCAGACGGAGCGCGTTAAGATTCTTGAGAAAAGAGATGAGCAGGACTGGGCAGGCCTGACCGTTAAAGCACCCACTATGTTCCAAGCACTATTCGCAACATGGTGATCCAGCAGGGACCAAAGTCACTGCCCTTGTAGAGCTGACGTTCTCCTGGAGAGAGCAAGGCAGGCAGGCAGACAGCTGAGCAACCATCTAATATTAATATGCCAGGTAGCAGTAAGATCTGGGGAGAAAAGTACTCTGCTGTTCTGAGGGGGAATAGATCATTTCAGGGGTAGGAAGAAGGAGCTTGCTGGCAAAACTTAAGGGCTGCCGGGAAAGGGATGGGCCCTGTCATGCCCAAACAGGGAACCCCCCACCCACACGCTGGGCCTGTGGCAGCTTGTGCCCACTGATGACTTCAGTGACTTCAC